ATTAAATCATGTCTCCTCCCAAGTGGATAAATGATGAAACAAAGAAATCAAAAAAATTTGCATTTTGCTCCTATACAATTTTGATTAAACTTCATATACAGGTGTGGTCTGATTTAAATCTTAGACCAATTGGATCAGTGATGTTTCATTGATTGTATTACAATTCTCAGGTAAGCTTGGACTTTCAGCAAGACGTGACATTCTAGATGTTACGTAATTAGTCAAATGGTGAATAAATTCTTATTGTTCAAGAAATTATTAACATCAAGAACTTTCAATTGTTGTGACAAATGATGAGGCAACTTAAGCCCTGCCTCTTTACCGTTCGAAAACTTTTAATTGGCTATTTCACCAGTTGACATTCAGCCGAATTTCCATCCTATGTATATTTCAACAGTGAAGGAAAGCTGTGTAAATTTCAGATGCTATTTATGTAATGTCGAGAATGCCACGCCCTACAGAAAGTATAAGCTTAACTGGAAATTGTCCTAAATAATGATTGTTTTAGAGTAACAGTACATGTATTTTTAAAACTTTCTACAGTCTGTATTTGTGGTTGCTTTGACAATCTATATTATAACAATTATAGATGCTAAATAAGCTTTATCTGGATACCGCTACAATGGTGTGGAATGGGAATGGAGTATCTGGACTGGAGAACATACAGAAATACCTGGAGGGTTTACCTGTGACAGAGCACAAAATGGAGTCTTTAGACTGTCAACCACTCGCAGGTAATCTATCAAGTAAAAGGTGTAATTATCTCAATTACGAAATTGAGCTTTTGCTTAAAAGATGTATATTTTATTTTGAACTGTTTTCATTAATGTTTTACTATGACTTTAACATTCTCTAGACAAAGTATCAGGTGGGCAGTTTTCAATAATTGTGAAAACATATGGAACTGTCAAATATCAGAACAGAAAAGCCAAGACTTTCCATCAGAACTTCATGTTGACTTCCCAGAATAATTTATGGAAAGTGGTGAGTGACAGCTTCCGATTCCAAGACTGAGGGGAGGAACAGCAAGGGAGGATCATCTACAGGACATTCCACTGGTTCCAGGGGATTCTGCAGCGAGTTATAAGAGAGAGCTTTCCATTTTCTATATACAGTGCTCAAATGATATTGAAATGCAGTGTTTACGGTTGAGGGGAATTCAGAAGAAAGAATAATGTTCAGTTATTGATCTCCATCATGCAGCACAAATATACTGAATTTTATGATTCTATAGAGTATGCTCTTGTGACATATTGAAAAATGTGTTAACATGGTGGCTTTGTGATTTTTAATAGATATACTGTATATTTTTTGTCTCGCCTGCGACGAATGTCGCGAAGCGAGACATAGCGACCATAGATTCCGTCGTCGTCGTCGTCGTCGTCGGCGTCCAACTTTTGGTTAACCCAAATGTCAAAGTTTTATAAACTGCAATAACTTTCTCAAATTTTATTCAGTCTTCTTGAAATTTGGACACAATATTCAGTATGGATAAAAATTTATATCCCAAGTATGATTTTGAAAAAAAAAATTCAAATTTTTCCGTATTTTTTCCTTAAGTTGGACTTAGTTTTTTCATGATAATTTATGGTGAAGACCTATATTCCAGCAACTATAAGTTATAGGGATATGATAATTAGTCAGTGGATACATCATGGGTAACCACAAACGTCAGTACCAGAATTAGGTCATCTTGACCTACATTTTTCTGCATGAGTGACTTTGGTTAAATTTTTGGTGGAGGTCCATATCTCAGCATCTATAACTTATAATGGCATGATGATTTGTCATTGTACAGGTTATAAGTAACCAACAACATCAGTACCAGAATTAGGTCATTTTGACCTACATTTTTCTGCATGAATGACTTTGGTTAAATTGATAATGGAGGTTCATATTTCAGCAACTATAACTTATAGTGGCATGATAGTTAGTCAGTGGATACATCATGGGTAACCACAAACGCCTGTACCAGAATTAGGTCATCTTGACCTACATTTTTCCGCATGAGTGACTTTGCATAAATTTATGGTGGAGGTCCATATCTCAGCAACTATAACTTATAGTGGCATGATAATTTGTCAGTGGATACATCATGGGTAACCACAAACGCCTGTACCAGAATTAGGTCATCTTGACCTACATTTTTCCGCATGAGTGACTTTGCATAAATTTATGGTGGAGGTCCATATCTCAGCAACTATAACTTATAGTGGCATGATAATTTGTCAGTCTACACATCATGGGTAACCAACAATATCAGTACCATAATTAGGTAATCTTCACCTACATTTTCTGCATGAATGACTTGATACATATACAGTGGATTTGATTTCAAAATGCAAGTTCAAATTATTGCGACTCATAACACGTTGCAATATTCGCAATAATAAAAACATCACAATAATTTGTGAATTTACAGGGTATATGTATATATATATAAATGCCAATATAATCGCCAAGGGATTAGATATTAAGTCAGCTGTTCCATTTCTTTATTATTGTATTTTTGAGTTATTCCTTCTGAAATGTCAATAAATGCTTCAGTTTATCAGACAATCATTTCTTACTAACCACAGCGACAGCAGGCGAGACACAGGGTTGCGGGCAACCCTTACGTACTTTTTAAAATATGTACTATATTATCATGTATTACTTCTAAGGCTCAGTTTATGATTTGCTTGCTTCCATTTTGTTTATATGGCCAAAAGAAAATGTTTTTAAGAAAAGATTGATTTAACAATCTTTTTACCAGCTACATTTCTTGGGGCTGTTAAAAAGTTACCATTGGCTCTACAATGAAGTATATTTTAAGAAACATGAGTTTTCATCCATGTCTGTTTATCGCAGGCAGTTGTGTTATTATAATACTTAGTATAGGTCAAAAATTTTATTTCCGAAACAAGTGCCTGTGCTGTTTATCCATATAAAAATTACTATAGAAGGTTGTGAACAAAATTTGATTTTTGTTTAAAAGGAGTTCCTGAAATGAGGAAGAACTGATCAGTACATCAAAACAAGGATTTCTTCATCAATAACTCAGACCAAGGACTTAATTATTGGTTTATAGAACAAGGAAGTATTGATCAGTACCTCAGACAAAGAAGTACTGACTGGTCTCTGCCTCTGGTAAAATGAAAATAGGTCAGTAACTCAGAAGAAGGAAGTATGCTTAAACAAAGCTAGAAGTACTGATTTAAAAAAAAATTTTTAAATGTAGAAAATTTTATTATGTTTGTATTGGGCAATTTTTAATTTGATGTCGGTATGCATGGATTATTTTACAAATATGACACTGAAAGATGATGAAAGTGATTGGATAGAGAAATCGAAAAAGCTCAAGGGGTTTATATCACTTTGAACTGTCTTCAATCTCCTGTGGGTCTGATATATTTATTTCGAAATGGGGGGGGGGGGGGTCGCGGACGCCTATGTAACACAGTCCATGTTGTTCTTTCGCTAGGCGGTTCGATTTGTTTTACATGGTTTCTGTTTGTTTCATAGGCGTCGGAACTGGGAGGGGGGGAGCTTAGCGCCCCCCTTTTTTTTGTTGCAAAAATAGGCATTATATAGGCATTGAAAATTGGGATTTCCTTTTTTTGTTGGTTTAGCCCCCCACTTTCGATTAGCCCCCCCCCCCCCGAAACTTTCAATTTGCTTCCGACGCCCATGTGTTTAGATAAAAAATATCGGACCATTGGATCATTAGGTCAAGCCTATAAAAAGCCTGACATAGACACGTGCTTGCATGTGGACGGACCCCTCCCCCCATGTTCCGTACCCCGGGCCAAGGGTTCTTTGACTTTTTTAATAAAATATTTTTCTATGACTTATTCGCAGCTAGAGTATTAAATATGAAAAACAGTTCTGTTTTAATACTATAGAGTATATGGATTTTTATAAAAGGCTAGGTTTAGCGCACAGGCTCCTGACGTTACTTATTTTTCTTTTAATAAAAAAAAATACCCTTACCTTATTATAAGGTAAGGGTCTTTTTTTTATTAAAAGAAAAATAAGTAACGTCAGGTGCCTGTGGTTTACCTTAAGTTTTGAATTTTTTACTTGTAATACTTTGCTAATTACGTCATAAAAATATTTTATTTAAAAAGTTCAAAGAACCCTTGGAGCGGGTACGGAACGGGTGGGGGTTTCCGTCCTCAAGCACCTGTGAGCATAAAATATGTACCGTTACTCCCTTTTTATGGTTTACAAGGGCGGGGTGATAAAAACAATTAATAGATCTGAAGCTTGAGGTCTATGCTTGAATTAAACAACTGCCTCAGATGTACACGTATGGAACGCCAAATTAACATATATTCAAATATTTATACCTATCTTCAAATAATTGTACCTATCTTCAATTCATTTGAAGATAGGTACAACTGAATTAAAGATAGGTGCAATTGAATTGAAGATAGGTGCAATTGAATTGAAGATAGGTGCAATTGAATTGAAGATAGGTGCAATTGAATTGAAGATAGGTGTAAAGAATTATACCTATCTCTAAAGAATTAAACCTAGGTACAAATGAATTATACCTGTCTTTAATGGAATAACACCTATCTTCAATTCAATTAAAGATAAGTTCAGTTGAATTATACTTATCTCTAATTCATTTGAAGATAGGTATAATTGATTTAAAGATAGGTACAATTGATTTAAAGATAGGTACAGTTCATTTGAAGATAATTAAAATTCATTTGAAGATAGGTACAATTGTTTGAAGGTAGGAACAAATATTTGAATGTATGTTAATTTGGCGTTCCATACAGATGACAGGTGACCTAATCAGATCCACTTTCAAGAAGGGAGGGGGCTTCCAAAAACAAAATCTGAGGCGACAGTGATTTGTCAAATATCGACCTTAAAGCAATAACAAAAGGGGGCCATGGGCCTGCTGAGATAAAAAAAAATTGTACATGCCGGAATGCTTTGGGATGACGTGATTTTTGTTTTGCTTTTACACTCCCAAAGCCGTATCCGGTATATGATAACGCGTAGTACTGATTTTGTACATTGTGACTCTCTAGAAATTATGTGCTAAATTCAGGTTTTAGTCAAAAATATGGACTCTAGACAAGAGGGCTTCATTGATTGTCACACACACCTAGCGGACTCAGTGTTTGAAAATGACATCCAAGATGTATTGGATAATGCTCGAAAATCTGGTGTGGTCGCTGCTCTGGTTTGTACAGAAACACCGGCCGATATCCCCATAGTACTGCGCCTTTGTGAAAAGTTTCCAGATATATTGTTACCTTGTCTAGGGATTCATCCTGTACAGAAGGACTCAAATGATGTCGAACGATGCGTCAGTCAAAAAGATCTGGATAAGGCCATATCCGAGATAGAGAAACGTATCGACAAAATCTGTGCCATTGGTGAGGTGGGATTAGACTTTCAACCCCGAATTACACCAAACCCGGAACACAAGGAAGCTCAGAGAAATGTGCTTAAAGCTCAAGTGGAATTAGCTAATAAGTACAATTTACCTCTGAATGTACATTCGCGGTCTGCTGGAAGACCAGCAATAGCTGCCCTGAAAGAATTTGGTGCCAGAAACGTTCTCATGCATGCTTTTGATGGTAGACCGAGTATTGCAATGGAAGGCATAAAGGAGGGATATTTCTTCTCTATTCCCCCATCAATTGTACGAAGTGAACAGAAAGTCAAACTTATTAAGCAGTTGCCAATGGAGCAGATTTTACTTGAAACCGACAGTCCTGCATTAAGTCCTGTGAAGGGAGAAAGAAATGAACCGTCTAATGTAAAAATATCCTGTGACCATATTGCCAACGTGAAAGGTTTAACTTCAGAAGAAGTGAGACGAATTACAACACAAAACGCTGTTAAACTTTTCCCTAAGCTGAAAGATATTTTGAAATAAAATATTGATGCCTTGGACAGAGATAATAGTTAAGTTGTCTATTATAGTAAAGATAACTGGGAGGTAACAAACAACTTCAAAACATTAATTGATAACAATCACTTAATGTTTGAAAGTGCTTAAACGTAAAAAATGTAAATGATTTTCCAATACTCTCAAACTGAAAGTAGTGAGAAATAGGAGCTGAATAAGAATGGAATCAACCCAATCAAAATCTGGCTTATAAAGAAACGAAACTTATTAAATAAGGGTGTGCCAACTAGCACAAATCGTCTATGACAGCTACAATTTGGGATTAGTTCTTTAGACACAATACTTACGTTATCTAATGAAGTACTCGTAATGGTAAAACAAAACTTTAGAAATTTCTGGATAAGTCAGAATTTGCTAGAGACACGATTTCGGAGCTTACTATACATGCACATTAAGCTTTCTTAGCTCCTGACCTATCGACTTGCCTTACATTCCGGTAGAATTTTCAAGTAACATAACCATTTCTATTTGTTTTCTCTGTGATAACTCTTTGAAAGTTGGTAGAGTAGATTTCTTGATGATAGCTAATTGCTTACTGAAAGTCTAGCTGAGAAATGTATTACAAATGTAGAGGGTATAAAAATTTCATTATTTTCAGTAAACTATAGCACCAGCACCCATGCTTTAGATGACCATTCTGTAACGTTTTTACAAAGTAAAAATAATTATCTATCGGGTCCGCTTAGGTTTCCTTCCTAAGAATCATGCACGTTTATAATATAAAATCAAAAGAAACTTAAATAGCAATGGCAAACAAATGAATTAAATTCACTATACATATTTTTCCTTAGTCCTATCTGGATCATGATTAGAAAACTAACTAAAAACGAAGTATAAGAAAAGAATCACTAGTAATCAAACAAATAATCCAATATGAAACTAACCTATCTCTGTAGCCGCAGACTGAGTGGTATAACGAACAATTCTATTGTCTGCAGTCTGCAACTACCCTAAAACATACCCTAGCAATCACAAAGTCAAAGAGACACCTTTATTAAAAGTCACCAAGACACAATATAAATTAAGTCACCAAGACGCTAGTCACAGAGACCTTGATAAGAAACTAGATTCCTGAGCTGAGTGGTCTAACGAACAATTCTGTTGTTTTCCGACACAGCCCAAGAACCTAGTCCAAGAGGTGTTATTCAAGCGACGAGAAACGATCAAGTAAACCGTATACTTTATGGGTGTCCGTATTTAAACCTTTTCTAATTACTAATGATTAGTTATAATTTGGGAACTCTAATCGGCTGTAATATAAAAGTTAATTGGTTAAATATAAAATGATTCGATTGGTCAATTTCAGAGACATTTCAATCCTCCAGTTTCAGTTTCTTTATTTCTTTAAGCCAACTGGCTCATCAGAGAATACAAACATGATAATGATAAGAAAAAAAAACATACAGAGAGAGTGAACGTAAAAAACACATACATGAAAATTATACTATACCTCAATTTTACTTTTTCTTAACATTATTGCATAATATTCGATTTCATTACAATTCTTAACATTGCTCAATCCAGCATTCAAATACATTTGTATTTCCAAAACTTGAGTACACTATTTGGTGTACTTCAAAATCTCATCATCAGTGTTAATCCGATCGGATTTTATAATCCTTTTTAGATTTATTAAGATTTAAAAATAATTTATTTATATGAAAACTAAAAGTTTTCAACTCTCACCGCTGAATTATTCTTAAATTTTGTGATTTAGATTTTATGAAATTACCTTCCTTTTCTCAGTTAAATATAAAACAATAAAATAAGAATTTAATCACTATAAAGAATAAAATATCCAGACTTAAAGTTGTAAGTTCGTTTGTGAAACAAACTCTTCATCAATTCAAACAGATTTTCAGAGAGTAACAGAAATGAGTGTAAAGATGTTTATCATAAATAAATTAAATACATGTTACAAAAATTTATATGTGCTATATATATTATTATTCATAATATTATTTCATTTTTATGACTGTTCATTTATAATCCATAAAGTGGGAGAAAATTGAAGTGGGGAGCTAACTTCCCGATATTGTTCATTTGTAAAAAAAAAAAAAAAAAAAAAAAAAAAAAGAGGGGGGGGGGGTCATTTATTAATTCTTATTTATGGACATCACAACAGATGTACAGTGTAGCATGGGTAAAAAATGAAATAAAAAGAAAACTTGTTGACCAAAATATCCAAAACTGAAAAAGTAATGTTTTAATTCATCAAAGAGTGTAAATTATGGCATTTATAAAGAAATATTTGAATCATAAAAGATAAGTTGTTAATCTGCCTAAAACATTTTTAATTTTGTTATGTAAATTTAGATGCATCAACTCCCTATTGAAATTGGGAGATGGAATGTCTCCCAAGAGAACAAATGATTTGTACTTTATGTGATCTTTATAAGATTGGTAATGAATTTAATCATGTTTTTGAATGTACACAAAAAGAAATTAAAGAGGCTTTAAGCTATAATATATCTAAAACTATCTCACATGCAGACCAAATATGGAGAAATTTAAACAACTTTTTTCAACATTAAACTGTCCAGTATTTTTAAAAAAAATATGCAAATTTTTATTGATTGTCAAACAAATCACAGATGGATATAATTGACTTGAACCTTAGCATAATATTTTGTATTTTATACATGTATTTTCTTTTTTTGTGTGTTTGGATGAAGTCGTAACCCAGATAGAAAAGAAAGCTGATAAAATATGTGCTATTGGGGAGGTGGGACTGGATTTCCAACCACGAATTACACCCGATACTAGTCACAAAGATACTCAGAGAAGTGTGCTTAAAGCCCAGGTTGAATTAGCAAATAAATTAAATCTTCCTTTAAATGTACATTCACGATCGGCAGGAAAACAAACCATAGCTGCCCTGAAAGAATTTGGAGCAAGGATCGTTCTTTTACACGCTTTTGATGGGCGACCCAGCACAGCAATGGAGGGAATAGCCAAGGGGTATTTCTTCTCAATCCCGCCATCAATTGTACGAACTGAACAGATGAAACTGGTGAAGCAATTGCCGATAGACAACATGGTCCTGGAGACGGACTGCCCAGGGTTAGGTCCAGTCAAAGGAGAACGAAACGAACCTGCTAACGTACAAATACCCTGTGATTATATAGCTAAAGTTAAAGGCATGACTTCCCAGGAAGTGAAACGAATTACTTCACAGAATGCCATAAAACTGTTCCCACGACTGAAATTGATACTAAAGTAGTGTACTCGTAATTGTATTGATTGTACATAATGAGTATTATTAAAATGGTACAAGAAAAACCAACCTTTTATTTTAAATTTTCAGCATCCCTTTAAGAATTAGAAGTCTCTATATTCAGTTTCAACAGGTGTCATTTTTTGATTTTGTCTAGATTGGAAATGCATGTTAGAAAGTGGTTGAATCATTATATAATCATCATGTTATCAAATTTTTGATTATCAACATTTATCGAAAATCGGTAAAATGCAGGCGACTTCAGTTTTCCCTCATGAAGATGAGTACATAAATTATTCATTGCAAATCAAATCAGGTGGAGGATATTCAGTCTGCTGCTTTTCTTTTTCTTCTCTCTCTCTCTCTCTCACTACATTCATTACGATTCTTATTTTACCTTATCAATGCAAAGGAATCTGGTGTGTCTTTAAAAGTATTTTAAAAAAATAATTTTCATATTTTTAAAAAATATTTTTTTCCGCTGAGAAAGAAATGTACCAAGGAAACTGGTACGATTGATTTTTTACGGGAAGCCCCGAGTCCCCGTAGAGCACGTTGTATCTACGATATCACATATAAATGTACAATTTATATTGATAATTCAGATATTTCTTTTAAAGACCTCTCATTAAACCTTTAATCTAAACCAGGTGTCTGTTTCATTCTGACGCGAAACTTCTTTATTTGCAAAGTTGAACGACATCAAATAGGAATAAGAGATGGGTACCCCTAAGTGTAACAGACAGACGGACGGACATCCCGATAACTAGAATTATATCATGATACTGCAGTACCCTCCCACTTTTCAAGCGGGGGGGGGGGTATTATAATCGAAGAGGTATCGCGTGTTTTTTTTTAAAAATTGAAATAGCAAAATATCGAATAGGAATCGCAGGAATAACAACATATCGAATAGAAATGGTAAATTATTGAATATAGCTTACATCTTTTCTGAAAAGAATAACATCATCTAACATTAAGGTATCTCATTTTATCAAATAGGAATGATATGTTCTAGAGTAAAGATAATAAAATTGTCGAGTAGGTTTAACAAAAAAGTATAATTATGCAACGTTTTTACATGTCATAGAGAAGAGTATTATAAAAAGCAAAATCACTGACGATATGGGAAGTTTTGTTGGAACGTGTGACGGCTTAGTTTTAATTTTAGCATTTACATACAGTGGTGAAATATCCGGTATTTGACTTTCGCTTAGTCAATGTAAACAGAGTCAGAGACAAAAAACCATGAGTTTTCTTAAAGAAGGATTCATAGATTGCCATACTCATCTTGCAGATTCGATGTTTGATCATGACATCGAAACAGTGATACAGAATGCGAGAAAATCCGGAGTTGCTGCAGCACTGGTATGTACCATAACTCCGAGGGACTTCCCTTCAGTTTTGCGGTTATGTGAGCAATATTCCGACATTCTGGTACCCTGCTTAGGTATTCATCCTGTTCAGAAAGACAGTAATGGAGAGGTGCAGTGTGTTACTCAGAAAGATTTGGATGAAGTCGTAACAGAGATAGAAAAGAATGCTGATAAAATATGTGCTATTGGGGAGGTGGGGCTGGATTTCCAACCACGAATTACACCAGATACTAGTCACAAAGATACCCAGAGAAGTGTGCTTAAAGCCCAGGTTGAATTAGCAAATAAATTAAATCTTCCTTTAAATGTACATTCACGATCGGCAGGAAAACAAACCATAGCTGCCCTGAAAGAATTTGGAGCAAGGAGCGTTCTTTTACACGCTTTTGATGGGCGACCCAGCTCAGCCATGGAGGAAATAGCGGGTATTTCTTCTCAATCCCGCCAACAATTGTACGAACTGAACAGATGAAACTGGTGAAGCAATTGCCGATAGACAACATGGTCCTGGAGACGGACTGCCCAGGGTTAGGTCCAGTGAAAGGAGAACGAAACGAACCTGCTAACGTACAAATATCCTGTGATTATATTGCTAAAGTAAAAGGCATGGCTCCCCAGGAAGTGAAATTAACGAATTACTTCACAAAATGCCATAAAACTGTTCCCACGACTGAAATTGATACTAAAGTAGTGTACTCGTAATTGTATTGATTGTACGTAATGAGTATTTTAAATTAAAATGGTACAAAAAATCCGACCTTCATATTTTAAATTTTCAGCATGCCTTTATGAATTATAAGTCTCTATATTCAGTTACAACAGGTGTCATTTTTTATTTTCTCTAGACTGGAAATGCATGATAGAAAGTGGTTGAATCATTTTATCATCATGTTATTAAATTTTTGATTATCAAAATTTATCGAAAATCGGTAAAATGTTTGCAACTTCAGTTTTCCCTCATGAAGATGAGTACATGTAAATTACTACTATTCATTGCAAATCAAATCAGGCGGTGAAAAATTCAATCTGCTGTTTTTCTTTTTCTTCTCTCTCTCTCTCTCTCTCTCTCTCTCTCTCTCTCTGGTGTGTCTTTAAAAGTATTTTTTTAAAAATAATTTTCACATTATTAAAAAAAAAATTCCCGCTGAGAAAAAAATGTACCAAGTAAACTGGTACAATTGATTTTTTACGGGAAGCTATGAGTCCCCGTAGAGCACGACGTATCTACGATATGCACATATAAATGTACAATTTATGTTAATAATTCAGATATTTGAAAAATTTGATTTATTTTGACCCTTTTAAAGACCTCTCATTAAACCTTTAATCTAAACCAGGTGTCTGTTTCATTCTGACGCGAAACTTCTTTATTTGCAAAGTTGAACGACATCAAATAGGAACTAGTTCTAATTGTAACGGGGACCGTTACAGATGTTCCCCAAACGCTCCCCAACTCCCTTTTTGTGCCATATTCCCTGTAAGCTTCATTAAATAAGGCAAACTCTATGCATTTTTTTTTCCAAGAAGTATACCAAGTATCTTTAAAGTTCAGCTTTGCACGCGTGCGCATGTGAACGCATGTGCGTAATGACCATATCAACTTGTCTACACTATATATATATTTTAATATATTAAATATTGTAGCATTCAATTCAAAAGTTTTAAAAAATACGCTAATTCAAGTGAATTTTTAAATTTACTCATTTCACGCGCATGCATGTGCATGATGACCATACTTCTTGTACCTATGTTCTAAATCCCATCCTGTTTGGTTGATAAGCAAAGGATTATATCCTTTTAAAGTTTCAGCCAATCAGATTGCAGCACATGTACATACGCATGCCTTTATGATAATTCTTTTATATCATGCTGTAGATCTTCATAACTTATGACTATGTTCAAAATTTCAAAGGATTTTATCCCCAATAAAGATATTGAGACTTTAGTTTCAGCCAATCAGAGGGAAGCGCACGTGCATGCGCGTAAATCTTCTATTTTGACCATGTCGTTAACACTTATATCCTAATGGAATTCAAAGCATTTCATCAACAAATAGAGAAGTTATTTGAAAAATTCAGATGTATTTATTTACCCAGGAAGAAGAAGAAGAAGAAAAATAATAATAATAAGAAACAGAGTAAAAACAATATGTTCCCCAACTTCGTTTGGGGAACATAATAAGAGATGGGTACCCCTAAGTGTAACAGACAGACGGACGGACATCCCGATAATTATAATTATATCATGATACTGCAGTACCCTCCCACTTTTCAAGCGGGGGGGGGGGTATTATAATCGAAGAGGTATCGCTTTTCGAAATTGAATATGGATTACATCTTTTCGGAAAAGAATAACATCATCTAATATTAAGGTATCTCATTTTATCAAATAGGAATGATATGTTCTAGAGTTAAGATAATAAAAATTGACAACGTTTTTACATGTCATAGAAACCTTTCCAGTATTATGAAAAGCAAATAAACCAGGAATGTAAACAGAGACAAAAAGCCATGAGTTTACTTAAAGAAGGATACATAGATTGCCATACGCATTCATGACATCGAAACAGTGATACAGAATGCGAGAAAATCCGGAGTTGCTGCAGCACTGGTATGTACCATAACTCCGAGGGACTTCCCTCTGGTTTTGCGGTTATGTGAGCAATTGAGAAAGATTTGGATGAAGTCGTAACAGAGATAGAAAAGAATGCAGATAAAATATGTGCTATTGGGGAGGTGGGGCTTTCCAACCACGAATTACACCAGATACTTAATATTCCGACATTATGGTACCCTGCTTAGGTATATCCCAGAGAAGTGTGCTTAAAGCCCAGGTTGAATTAGCAAATAAATTAAATCTTCCTTTAAATGTACATTCACGATCGGCAGGAAAACAAACCATAGCTGTCCTGAAAGAATTTGGAGCAAGGAGCGTTCTTTTACACGCTTTTGATGGGCGACTCAGCACAGCCATGGAGGGAATAGCCGAGGGGTATTTCAATCCCGCCATTCGTACGAACTGAACAGATGAAACTGGTGAAGCAATTGCCGATCAAATGGTCCTGGATGAAAGTGAAAGGAGAACGAAACGAACCTGCTAACGTACAAATATCCTGTGATTATATAGCTAAAGTAAAAGGCATGGCTCCCCAGGAAGTGAAACGAATTACTTCACAGAATGCTGTAAAACTGTTCCCACGACTGAAATTGATACTTAAGTAGTATATTCATAATTGTATTGATTGTACTTAATGAGTATTATTAAAATGGTTCAAGAAAAACCAACCTTTTTATTTTAAATTTTCAGCAATCCTTTAAGAATTAGGTCTCTATATTCAGTTTCAACAGGTGTCATTTTTTGATTTTCTCTAGGTTGGAAATGCTTCAACCCAAATGCATGTTAGAAAGTGATTGAATCATTTTAATATCATCATGTTATTAAATTTTTCACTATCAAAATTTATCGAAAATCGGTAAAATGCAAGCGACTTCAGTTTTCCCTCATGAAGATGAGTGCATGTAAATTATTCATTGCAAATCAAATCAGGTGGTGGATATTCAATCTGCTGCTTTTCTTTTTTTCCTTCTCTCTCTCTCTCTCTCTCTCTCTCTCTCTCTCTCTCTCTCTCTCTTACATTCATTACGATTCTTATTTTACCTATCAATGCAAAGGAATCTGGTGTGTCTTTAAAAGTATTTTTTAAAAATAATTTTCATATTTAAAAAAAAATATTTTTCTCGCTGAGAAAGAAATGTACCAAGTAAACTGGTACAATTGATTTTTTACGGGAAGCTTTGAGTCCTCGTAGAGCACGTCGTATCTACGATATCACATATAAATGTACAATTTATATTGATAATTCAGATATTTTAAAAATTTGATTTATTTTGACCCTTTTAAAGACCTCTCATTAAACCTTTAATCTAAACCAGGTGTCTGTTTCATTCTGACGCGAAACTTCTTTATTTGCAAAGTTGAACGACATCAAATAGGAATAAGAGATGGGTACCCCTAAGTGTAACAGACAGACGGACGGACATCCCGATAACTATAATTATACCACAAGTAGAGCTTTTCAAAAAAGCTTACCGTCTTTAGCAACAATTTTAAACAGTAAACAGATCTACACTTAACAGGCCGTATAATTCTTTTGAATTTCTTGATTTTGTATTTCTAAATTAGCTTTTTACGGGCATTAGCCCTACCACGGTTGTCGCTCGGTCATCTCAAATTGTAAAGCCTGCACGCAATAACTATCAAATTTTATTTATAATGAAATTAAAGAGACCTTTTTATTTATTGCTATAAAATATATCATGTTATTAAGAAATAATTACTGCTGATTTTGTTGTTCGTTTTGTCATTTTTTTAAGATTGGAAATCTTGCAAAATTGTTAAGTCGTACTAGATCATCAGAAAGTTATCTCCCTTGCCTTGAACAGCATTTCAACCAATGAAATAATTGAAAATTTTCTCATCATGCAATTTCTACCAATCACAAAAGAGAGGAAGTTGATTGTCCGAAGACTGTAAAAAACTTCAACTATACAATACCGTCTTCCAAGGAAGACGGTAATGATACTGCAGTACCCTCCCACTTTTCAAGCAGGGGGGGGGGGGGGGTATTATGATCGAAGAGGTATCGCGTGGTTTTTTTTTTTAATAGAAATAGCAAAATATCGAATAGGAATCGCAGGAATAACAACATATCGAATAGAAATGGTAAATTATTGAATATGGCTTACATCTTTTCGGAAAAGAATAACATCATCTAATATTAAGGTATCTCATTTTATCAAATAGGAATGATATGTTCTAGAGTTAAGATAATAAAAATTGTCGAATAGGTTTAACAAAAAAGTATAATTATGCAACGTTTTTACATGTCATAGAGAAGACTCTGTTCCAGTATTATGAAAAGCAAATTGACTGACCATATGGGAAGTTTTGTTGGAACGTGTCACGGCTTAATTTTATTTTTAGCATTTACATAGAGTGGTGAAATATCCGGTATTGACTTTCGCTTATTCTCATTGAACGTAAACAGAGACAAAAAGCCATGAGTTTACTTAAAGAAGGATACATAGATTGCCATACGCATCTTGCAGATTCGATGTTTGATCATGACATCGAAACGGTGATACAGAATGCGAGAAAATCCGGAGTAGCTGCAGCACTGGTATGTACCATAACTCCGAGGGACTTCCCTCTGGTTTTGCGGTTATGTGAGCAATATTCCGACATTCTGGTACCCTGCTTAGGTATTCATCCTGTTCAGAAAGACTGTAATGGAGAGGTGCAGTGTGTTACTCAGAAAGATTTGGATGAAGTCGTAACAGAGATAGAAAAGAATGCTGATAAAATATGTGCAGTTGGGGAGGTGGGGCTGGATTTCCAACCACGAATTACACCTGATACTAGTCACAAAGATATCCAGAGAAGTGTGCTTAAAGCCCAGGTTGAATTAGCAAATAAATTAAATCTTCCTTTAAATGTACATTCACGATCGGCAGGAAAACAAACCATAGCTGCTCTGAAAGAATTTGGAGCAAGGAGCGTTCTTTTACACGCTTTTGATGGGCGACCCAGCTCAGCAATGGAGGGAATAGCCGAGGGGTATTTCTTCTCAATCCCGCCATCAATCGTACGAACTGAACAGATGAAACTGGTGAAGCAATTGCCGATAGACAGCATGGTCCTGGAGACGGACTGCCCAGGGTTAGGTCCAGTGAAAGGAGAACGAAACGAACCTGCTAACGTACAAATATCCTGTGATTATATAGCTAAAGTAAAAGGCATGACTCCCCAGGAAGTGAAACGAATTACTTCACAGAATGCCGTAAAACTGTTCCCACGACTGAAATTGATACTAAAGTAGTGTACTCGTAATTGTATTGATTGTACGTAATGAGTATTTTAAATTAAAATGGTACAAAAAATCCGACCTTCATATTTTAAATTTTCAGCATGCCTTTAAGAATTAGAAGTCTCTATATTCAGTTTCAATTTAACAGGTGTCATTTTTTGATTTTCTCTAGATTGGAAATGCATGTTAGAAAGTATTTTATCATTATGTTATTAAATTTTTCATTATCAAAATTTATCGAAAATCGGTAAAATGTTTGCAACCTCAGTTTTCCCTCATGAAGATGAGTACATGTAAATTATTCATTGCAAATCAAATCAGGCGGTGAAAAATTCAATCTGCTCTCTCTCTCCATTCATTACGATTCTTATTTTACCTATCAATGCAAAGGAATCTGGTGTGTCTTTAAAAGTATTTTTTAAAAATAATTTTCATATTTTAAAAAAAATATATTTTTCCCGCTGAGAAAGAAATGTACCAAGTAAACTGATACAATTGATTTTCTTACGGGAAGCCCTGAGTCCCCGTAGAGCACGTCGTATCTACGATATGTACATATAAATGTACAATTTATATTGATAATTCAGATATTTTGAAAATTTGATTTATTTTGACACTTTTAAAGACCTCTTGTTAAACCTTTAATCTAAACCAGGCGTCTGTTTCATTCTGACGCAAACTTTTATTACTTTTTCTTTATTTGCACAGTTGAACGACATCAATTATAATTTATCAAGGCGCCATCTCAACAATATAAGGTGTAATTAGAACAATTTTGTCACAAGGCCCCCGTCGAATTCAATATCAAATTGCCCCAAAGAAAAAGAAACGAAACGAAAAATGTAACACAAGAGTTGGACCTGCATGGGAAAGCAAACTGCAGTAAATTAGTGAACTGTGACGACAATACGTTATTTGACAAGATGGGGGAAATGATGCTTATTGAAGCGTCCAATTACTTATTGCTGGGCTATTTGTGTGTAGATGGTTAAACTGCCGTGTCGAGCTATTTATTGCTGCAACACGGAAAGCTATGTCAAAATTAAGCTAGTATCATAGACAGCTTCTCCCTGCAGAATACATGAGGAGAAAGTCAGGTAGAGGGTCCTTGTGAAGTCCGGAGTACCTGCGAGCGGAAACCACAGCCAGGTAAGATTGTACTACAAGTACTAATTGGCCGGAGACAAGAAGGCTTGTCCACGGCCATTTTACGACTATTTCGTGTGAACTGATGGGTCCACGACTCAACGTTAAAGCGTAAAGAATACAATGCGTGACTTATTATTCCTTTTTGGGCAGATGTTGATTTTGATAAGATAAAAAAAAAATGCATACATGTGTACACATGGGTAGTGGCCTTTCCTTTTTTCTATTTTTTCAATATTAATAAAATCCCAAATTTTATGTTCTTTTCCTTTTCATTTCAAAGGAATAGTCTGAAACTGCATGTGCAAGTCAGCCTTTTAGATAACGGAGACGTAATAGAAATTATTCCTAACACAGAGTGGACTTACAGGTAAAGACAGGTGAAAGGACACTATAGGTTCTGATTTCTCTCAAGATACTTCTCACCTTTACCTTATAGCTGGGATTGTTCTCTATTGAGCCTTTATTTACTTTTCTTATTACTTACAGTCGCAAGGGAATTAGAAATCAATTTATAATGGCAAATCTGACGGTTAGGAATTTAATTGGATTAAGGACTGTTTTTATATCAGTGTAACATACTAAGTAAACACTTAGCACTTGTGAAGCTTTAACAGATAAATCTCAGAGACTTTACCCACAAAGACCAAATCTTAGACTTACTGACCGCTAACAAAAACCTAGATTCCAACAGATAGAATTTTCCTTTATTTTCTATGATTAAATTAAATCTTTTTTATATAAATGTACACGGATTGTAATGCTACCCGTGATAACAATGGCTCCCTGCCACGACCTGTTGATATCGATTTGTCTGATTTACGGTTAAAGCTTCCATCGTTATTGTGCCCTTGTAATAATGACAATATTCTCTGCTACAATGGCTGCAGTTAGGGCATTCAAATTTTTCTTACAGAAGGAATATTGTTTCCTTGTGTAGCTAATATACCGGTTGTTACTCGTTCTGGAGAGAGGATTGAGAATAATGCTGTGCACACACAAAGACCGAGGATGTAGCACTAAATAATCGAAAATCGATCTCAGATCCGTATGTATTCACTTCATTATCAATCGCTGTTCCTCAAATTTCAGGTAACTGATAACGATTTCGTAATTGATTTGTTGTGATGATTCGTTAAAGTTCTGTTTTATTCGATGATGTTAAGGCATCCATTTCTTAAGCTGATATCATGTGTTTACCCATATTATAAGCACAAAATGTATAATTCATCAGTGATTATTGACCAAATCTAATTGAAATTCAAGCGTACTGTATTTTGCAAAAGCCCCCGTTGTGCATGTTAAATCAAACTGTGTAGCTTCTTTAATTCAAGGACACTGAATCTTCATAGGATATCAGTGTGTGATCTTCTGTCAGATTGTTAGACAGTGTACACAGAATTTCTTTTTGTATGCAAGATAAACCTGTCACTTTAACGTTCAGATGACAGTAGAAGGTCCTACTCGAAAGTTTACACATATCTGCTTTATCCTAACTTTTCATTTTAACTTTAATATAGGATTTTTTAAGCTTGTCCTTGATAAGGATGTGTGTCCAAATCAAAGTCATTTCCTTAGGAATCGGTTTATTTCCTCCATCGACATTCTTTGACACCCCTCTTCATTGACAGACATTATAAATAATTAATTATACTCTGAAATAAAAAAAAACGTGTTATGCTAAAGTTTCGCATTATATAAAACGTTTTTATGACTGAGCTGTTGTACTACATGTATATCACTCAGACTAACGAGACCAGAACAGTGTGCCAGTGGCAGGGACCATGACCGACTGAAAAATAATTTGTCAAACACTTACTTGATACAGTAAACTAGCCTATCATTTATATACACATTATGCACGTCAGAATTATAAGATTTACCTTTTACTGAAAAGAGGGTTTGTCTAAGATGATAATGGCAAACCATTTGGCCTATTTTTTATGGTCATAAATTATTCGCTTCGTTTTGGGACGGAATGACGTTTATGCATATTAAGGCCCAAACCTTGATGTGCAACACTAACTAGCGTGTATAATTAAAGATCAGTCACACAAAAAAGGAATTAATAAACATCCCCGAGCAATCAAAATTTAAATGACTGTCCGTGATTTAAATGATATACAGCGTTGGAGCTGGATCTTTTCTGTCAAGTTCCCCGAGGTTTTTTCTTTGGCTTTTAATCCCTGCTCGCTTCTTTACCCTCCTGTTGGGGGTGGTCCCACTGGCCAGTATTCCGCGGGTCTTGTTTACACAGAACTGTTATCACTCGTATATGGGACGTGAAGAGGATATAATTTGAACTGAATGATATTTATTTTCGGTGCTTGGAGTATGCGATATCTAAGGATTAGTTGTTAGTGTGGTAGAGTTTTGAATGCGATGTGTGCCCCCTCACTCTCTCGGGTCCTTCAGTTTCTCTGTGCTTCGGATTCTAGAAATACCCCCATCCCTTTGTATCAGGACCGGAAGCGATGGGACTCGGAAGATACCCTTTAGTAAGTGTTTGGCAGAACTCAAAGCGTTGGTTTTAAAATGTCACTCAGACCACATATTTTGTTAGAAGACCTTTTAGTTGATTAATGGATTCAATTCCATGATAACATTTTAACGTAATTTGTTACTGTGGCTTTTCCTAGAAGACCCCATTGAACTTTATAAATTTATCTGACTTATTACTTCACGGAATTTTTATTCAGAAATTGAAAAGTTTTGTACCTTGAGTAAAATCTAGATCATTATACTTGTAACAATGTGATGTTTAAATTAGTGATCGTATGTTTGCAAAGCACACCGAAAGTAGCAAATTTGAAATGCCTTTGAAATCAATATTTGTCTTTGCCCACAAAGGAACTGTTTGAATCTGTAATACACTGAATGATTCTGTGTACACAGTCATTTGGTAGAAGAGTATTTGCCCGGGGCTTGAATCACTGAAGGCTCGAGCAGTGGTGGTCCCCGTGGTTTACTTATTTTGGCTTGCTCAGTCAGTTACATCCTTAAGAGCAATAAAACCTCGCCAAGACATAATAGATCCAGAATTTTTTGTTTATAACTTATTTATGGATGCATGAACACTCATTTGATGGATGTACACACATTTCGTAAGAAGAAGTCCATTCTCTGAAAATCATTTTATCATTTTATTCCCTTCTTTCAATAAATAGGTTATTTTCAAAAACTTTTTTTTAATTAAATACTTATAAAAGGGAGCCCTTATTGCTGTTTGACATCAGCCCTGGATAAAATTTCAGGATTGGTGGGCGAAAATTTCCAATGGAAGAATAATAGTTTTTATCTTGTTTATTCAGGGTTTAAAGGACGGAAGATGACCCAAAGCCCTGTTTGACAAATTTGAACTCTAATCTGCCAGTTTTTGAGAGAGTCTTTAATTTAAAATGACAGAGATTCCTCTTCATTAAAAGTTTGGTGTGATTCACTAGAACGATGAATAGAGATCCCCGGATCAATCGCATTCCTCCAGTTAAACCAGCACTTAATCTCAGCTTGCCAGTTGGAACAATTAAATCTCCGTTTTTTATCAAGATGTGAGAAGCGTAATTCAAACTATGTTTGAGGAAAAAATATAAATCTTAAAACGGCGAATTCGAAAGAATGAGTAATTACGTGGTTGTGCAGTCATTTAAACTCTGATAATTTATCAAGTTTACTCACATGTCAATTCATTTTGTTGATCAAGGCTTCTTTTGGAAGTCTCGTGAATTGCTTTTTCTAAAATTGATATATATCGCGTGCAAAGTTTTAATGCATTTCCTATGTACAAAAGATCGAGAAGGGTACGATTTATTTCGGATGTATTGATTTCTATAAAAAGAAAGTTTGTAAAAGAAATTTCTCTAAAGAGTACAAATTCCAATTCTACTGAACACGAATTTGGCCTCAGAAAGGTTTTAATTTGAAAGTGACACACACGTCTTGTTTAATTGAAATTAGAAGTATTTGTACACATCTAATACGTATACAAATAAGATATGCTTATAGGCAATATGATTACGCATCAGCGTAATAGTTAAATTTTTTTAAGCAGCACTAAACGAGATACGAAACAAACAAAAATGCCTGTTTAAGGTGAATTGGCCTTTTAAAAAGAGAGGTAACTCTCACTGGGATATCCCTGCAATGCTTAAATAGTATGTATCAATTATAAATAAGACGTCTTTTGCGAAAAGAGTAAACTTGGTGACCTCGCACGGCAGCCAAAATCGAAACTGTGATGAGATTTTAGCTGTGTATTTTACACTATTTTCTGCAAGTTACAATATCTACTTTTATAACAGACCAATACTGCAAATGATATTCTGTAAAACTGGGCTGTTACACCAAAAATACATAGTTTTGCTCACCTAAAGCAGAAGCGTTTTCACATAAAACCAATAATCATTGCATCATTTTCCAGCTTGTTGCACACATCAATGTCCAGTCGGAGCTCCTTGGCAGTCACCAGCAGTATGGAGACATTATTTCAGCAATCTCTACACGAAGGCAATGTGAACCAGTACTACACACCCGAGGATAATCCGGAGGCCATGTTCGGTTAGAATTTAGTCAGATTCATCCAGATCAAAAACATCAAAAATACCAATTTTAGGAACATTTAATGAAATACTTCAAAATTATATATAGCTGATAAAATATTTTGACATATCAAGGTTATTCGAAGTATAGCAAAATGTTCATGTGTATGGAAGAAATTAATTCTTTACTGAACATCCCCAATCACTTTATATTTTATTTTCCAGACATGTTGACGATACAGACAATCAGAGACCGCTATCAAGACATCGAGGAAGAGGATACGACCTCAGACATAACTACGATGAATGGACAAGACTTCGATAACTTTGTACGGGAATTTACTATCGATGATAGTATCTCGGAGTGTTTTGCCTCTGCTGATCTTCCGGAGCAGACGATAGAGGAGATCACGGAATCAGTCGACCCATCCGAAACAAATTCCCAAGGTCGTCAGAGCAAATTGAAAAAGAAACATAGAACAATTCAAGAGGAGTCTGTTCTCAGTGACGAAGACTCGAAATCCAGTGATTCTAAGCGATCTAAACTTACGAGCATTTCAAATTTATTTGGAAAGAAGCACAAGAATAAGGAAGGTTACAAAGTGTTGAAACAGAGCGTACCCCAGGAGAAAGGTAAACATATCACGGATTCTATCATTGACGCTTGTGAAAATATTACTAAATCTTATGAGCAGAATGTTTCTCAAAATACCAGTTCAGCATCGACATCAAAAGGATGTAAACACAAAAGCAAGAAAACTAGTGAAAGTGATTTTGACAATATCGAGAACCAACACTCTGGTAGCGATTTACAAAATGCTCTCAACTTACGAAAACTTCCACCTGTTCCTAAAGTTAAGAATGGAAATGCCCGCGATGATATTTGGAATGGAAAACAGAGACACGAAAAACCGGAGATGACATCAAATGGAAGCTTGCTTCGCTCAAGCGATGTCAAGGCATTGCTTTCTTTAAATGATCAACAACTTGTAAGTACTTCATTTAAATTCATTAGAATAATTGCTGGCTTTTCTAGAAATCTTAAAACATTCCAAAATGAAAACTAGAACCTTTACTAAGAACCATTTTTTTCTCCCAGATCGAGAAACTGGGAGTGATATCAAGTGATGGTTCACAAACAATTCTAAGGAAAACGGTTTCAACTCGAGATGTTACTGGTATGACTCTTCTACAACTTTGTGTACTAAATGATCGAACGAATGTCGTGGACTTCATTCTAGAAGCAGACCCCACTCTACTTGATGCTAACATCATGGTTTTTGCCGTCAAGGTACTGAGTAGTTTAAAATTGTATAAAGAGTCTTAAATTCAATGAATCAAACCTGTAACAGTGTAATTTTTGGGTATAAGGATGGTATTAAAAGATTGGCTGATAAGGTGAAAATAAGCGGTGTAAACATATAGGTAACATTTTCCTCCATAGCATGGCAAGACAGAATGTGTACGTGATCTACTTGAAAGGAGAAGTATGGATGGAACTCTGAACCCGGAACTTATTGGAGAACTACTGGCTCTCTGCTCCAAGAATGGCCAGGTTTGTATTGTAAAACAAACATTCCTAAAACATACCCAAACCTTGAAAGATTAGCTATTTTCATTGTTAATGGCATTCCTCACTTTGTCTAGGCTGATGTTTTGGAGACCGTTATTCCGTACCTTGAGACAGATCCACCTTCCTGTCTACCTTGTGACCAATACGGAAATACAGCAGCCCACCTGGCGGCCCAGGAGGGACACCTTCATTGCTTACAGGTAAAAGAAAGGTAACACCATCAAAAGGACTGTACTTTACGACCATGCATGTTTATTTTTCTATAGCTGCTTTCTGTATCTGCAGATTCTTCTAGATAATGGATTCGATGTTTGGACAATTAATGATCAGAATGAAAGTGCACTTGGACTAGCGCTGAAAAACGGGCACCTGTCTGTTTATAAACATCTCCTGTTGTACCAGACGTGCCAGTGTCTACTGACAGAGGCGACTAAACATAAAATCGCTAATTTGAGGTACAGTATTCTAACGTTGCAAATATTATCAAAAAGCTACCAAAGGCTTTCGTCGAACGATAGTATATAAACCAAATTTGGAAAAAATGGTCTTAAAGAAATATCGTAGCATACTAAGTACATGTTTATGGGTTGATTAACACAGTTTTGGACAATATGATGAAGCATCTGCTAATTCCTCTTTTTTCAGGTTCAGTGCACAAAGAACGGCAAACCATGGAACTCTAGACCAGGTACGTATTATTTCCTATAATCAGAAACACTTGCAAAATGCTGTGTTTCTAGAAATTCCTTTTACACCTTGCATTACTCATGTTTATTCACATATATCTATATTTTTAGCTAGAACAACAACTGGCAAAGTATCAGATACAATTTAATGAGGTTATGCGCAATATGATTGATGCACAAGAGACGATTTTACAGACAGTAGACAACTTATACAAGGACATGAAACGTTTGATACAGAAAGTGGATGATCCAAACGGTTCTGAAAAGCTCAAGTAAGTTGGAAATTATTCATTTGGGAAAAAAGCTACAATTTGAGCGATAATTATAAGAAATGAAAGACTATATCTGTGAATTTAGATTAAAATTAGAGAAACTGAAAGCAGAGGCCGATCAGCTTCAGGATCTGTTTGACTTTTCACCTCTGGCGAACACTAATGATGTATTGACAAAAGTCTTGTTGGAGTTCAGGAAAGTTGTCCTCAGAACTGAGGAGGAGGACACGATATCCAGCTCCTCTGTCAACATGCCACCAGACACAAAGGAACTCCTCAGGTAAACTTTTGACAATACTTTAAATTTATAAAGCAATTCATTTTAGTGATATTCAGAGAAATTTTTTAGTCAATAACAAATGTACCTTTGTTGATTTTTAGCTCGGTACTTCGAAATTCTGCTACAATATGTGGTCAAAATAGTCAGGTGAATATTGAGCAGATTCTTAACTCTCAGGTGCAAAATTTATTACAAATGTTATCGGATAGTAACCGACCAGTATCAAAAAGTACCAGCACAGCATCCTCACGATCTGGTAACCATAGATACCAATTCACTCAGCCTGTTTACCAAAATCCTAAACTGGAACTATTACTTAAAAACAGCAAGGAAAAAAATGAACACAAAGAAGAACCAAATCATAACATTAATTCAGGTTCTAGCATAATACCTGTAAATGGAAATTCAGTGCATCAATCCCCTTATCCTCCCGGAGGAAATGTTAACGAAGAGCTGGATCTACCTGTACTTGACAGCCCTAGTGTAACCGATTCTGTTTGCTCTACTGTTGTGACCTCAGGAATAATGGGAACCGAAAAAACTGACTGGACCTCTAGACTTGGCACTATTACTTGTGATACCAGTGACACAGAATCTGATTGGTGGGATGCGTCACGTGACAAGTCTCGGAGTGGATACACTGAGTCACGTGATGATGATGAGGAGGAAGATGACGATATAGATTTTGTCACTAGCATTCGTTTAAATTTAGAAAATGAGGACTTATCTGATGATATGTTACGGGAACATCGACTTGCTAAGCATTTACAATCAATTGAAAAGTTAAAACACAGTAAAGGGGAATTCGTTGAAAGAGTTATTTCAGCCAGTGGGCAAAGAGTCGGTAGATGGTTAGACTCGTCCTGTATGGATCAAGTAAAAAAGGGAAATCCCGATAATGGTAAAAGTTCCAAGAAAAGCAAGAAACAAGGCATACAGCTATTTAATCCTGAACCACAGCATGAAGTGGATTCTCTTCCGCCTACTACTGATAACAGGAGAAGGAGATGGGATGAAATGTCAATCACGGTCAGTATGCAATAATTTACTGTGAATTTTATGAAGATTTTTTTTCAATGATTTTCTGTGTATTTTATGAAGATTTAAAAAAAAAAAAATTATGCTTATTGTGAAGGTATTCATATTCAAAGATTTGACACATTTTTCAGGATGGAGAAGATAGTAAAGGAAACCCGCGACCTTGGTTTGTAGTTCTTTACTGTATTTTGACAATACAAACAGGATTAGATTTATTAAAACATATGGTACATGTAGCAAAAATGCTTATTGGAAAGAGATGGTAGCAAGAGTAATGTTTACTGGATGAAAACGTTTAATTTAACATTTTCTTGTATCAATTTGCAATACTAATTAAAAGAGACAGTTTTACTCATAATAAAATAGAATGAAATTAAAAATGCAAGAAGAGAACTAGAAAGATAAGAAAAACCAGAGAAGTAATTTCTAAAATTTATTGACTAATACACTGAGGAGATGTAAATATGAGGTAGTATTAATTAGTAAGAGACAGTATTGTTTGATTGATAGGTATGAAATGTCAGATGACGAAGAGAGTGTGGTCCAAGTATGGAAGTCAGATGATGAAGATAACCAGTCACCGGTTTACAGGATTTAAAACAATAGCCAGTCACCGGTTTACAGGATATCAAACAAAAGCCAGTCACCGGTTTACAGGATAATAAACACTAGCAAGTCACCGGTTTACAGGATTTAAAACGTCATCTAAAAGATAGAGGATGAAATCTTAGTCATAATGTTACACATGAATAACACAGTTACTGAGATACAGATTCATGTTTTAAAAATCAAACATGATAGAAAAAAAAAATAAAATCTAAAGGATATTAAATAATCATAACTCTCCATGTTCTAAAACATTTCCAATAAAAGTATAAAATGTATTAAATTTTTAATTTTGATAAAGAATTGTTTCAAGTGCCATATTCAAGATGCTAAATACAGATGAAAACTGCATGTTGTATAATGAACTTTTAAACAAAACCTACTAGTATTATGTTGAAATGTGATATACATTCCCACATGTTCTTATATATCAAAATGTTTTGCATTAAATCGATATTTATATATGCGCAAAATTTTTATTAAAAATAATTATTTTAAAATGGCACGTCCATCTCATTGATATATTTAAAAATATTTTCAAAATCAGTTTGCAGGGAAAGCATTAAATTAGTGAGGTCCTTGGAAAGGTCATAAATATTGATTTCTATTCAAAAAATCTTGAGAGTTTTTGTTTCGCCCACCCAACACAATATATATATATATATATATATATATATATATATATATATATATATATATATATATATATATATATATATATATACAAATCAATGAAATGTATGCATAAGAAATACCTCTGATATAAAACACAACTTATGTTGAAATGTGATACATTCTTGATATTTATATATTTGTTATTAAAAATCATAAAAAATGAAACAAATATTTCAGTTTGCACGGTAAGCACTAAAGCGGGTTATACTGAAATATTGATTATCATAACGCATTCTTTTGAGTCACATAACACTAAGTAATATACATTGAAAAATTACAAAAATATATATACTGGAAGCAAAGCACACACGGGAGTTAAAAAAAACAGAGTTAGATTCAGGTGTCATGAAGGAGTAAACATCCCCTGTCAACCAGTCACACCCACCGTGCTCTTGTTGTCATGATCGGCAAACAGAAAAATAAGTAGACAATGCAGTATACATAAATGACGGCCTGATAATTATTTTATAGTATATAATTCAGCATTCGACTTGATAATAGATTACATTTACTGACAAGATCATTGTATAAACAAACAAAAAAAAAACTTTTCAAAAAATCGACTTCAAAACGAATTTTTCAATATCTGTAATATCAAAAGCAACAAGTTGTTTTTATAAATTTTGTCAATATATTGCCTCCAGTCAGAAATTGTTTTTATAAATTGCATAGAACTTGTTCTTGCATGTTGAATATGCTGGGAGTCATATCTCCACTGAAGTTTGGACCTTTTTGTTTTAAGTTCACTGAGAAATATCGAGTGTAAATATGAATAGAAGTAACTATTGTAAGTTGACAATACTTTTTTGATGCATCTTAATTAATGTCAAGTCAAAATCAACAACAATCAACAACATCGATCGACCAATCAGCAATGTTTTTTTTTTGTTAAATTGACGATATCTGTTTTCGGAATATATTTTAACTCTTTACTGTAGGGAATGAAAAACGCAAGTATACAACGATCACATGCAATTCTAGGAATAGATATGGTGTCATCAAATATCTTAAGTTATGTGGAATCTATATATTTAAGATGTTAACTTGCGCTATCTTAAGTTATGTGGAATCTATATTAAAGATGCAGACTTGCACTTTAAATAAACTGTGCGTTGTCAAAATTCGAGTTCACATGAAGAAAACAATCCTTTCTTTTGACAGTACCGGTTTATGAGGTTTATGAGGAGAGTAGCTTATCAAAAACCCTTGGCTACCGAAGATGGTCTGCTAATAACAGGGCACAAATGGTACCATAGATATCCGACAGGTTACATCAACAGTTTATGTGTTTTATTTGAATTTTACTGACACATGAAGCGCATGCAGATTAGGGTAGGAAAGGAAATAGCTCTGGGATATTCTGGAATATAAAACATGTACAATAGGATTAAATTTTTGGGGATTTTATTTTCATAAAGCGCATGTAGATTACAAAGGGAACAGCTAGTCATATAAAACATGTATTTCAGGAAGGGAATTCTCACAGACACAAGCATTTACATACGTTAGAAGTACACATGTTTAAAAACTGAAGTTATGTACATGTATCTTACTTCTGTGTACTAAGCGGAAAAAGACCTAAAACATTTTTATAATTGAAAAAAACTTTTTTGTCTACTGCTATCTTAAACGATTTTAGAAAGAAGTCTAAAACATAAAATATTTGTAATGGAATAAAAGCAAGCATTATATCCAGACTTACAAAGCAATATTTAAGCCAAAAGCTTAAACTAATTATACAAGACATTTACGTTTGAATCTAAAATGTAACAAATGCAAACATCCGACAATACTTTCCAATTACAATGCTGTTTTATGTCCAAATGAAATTAGTATATATTATACTGGAAGCTAAGACAAAGTTACAAATCCGTCAATATATGCAATTAATGCATTAAATCCTTACAAATACCCATCATCTTCCCCAAAGGAAATGCATCCAAATTTTGGCACTTAAAATGCAGATAACAAATACAATTTAGTAATAAAAATGTTGATATTGAGGACACAAGGACGAATCTGCATTGCATAAACAAATTCATGAAATGCATTCAATCGGTAAATCTTAAATAGAAAAATAATGTTCACATTCTTAAATAAATATAAATAAAATACACCGTACTTCACATCAATAAATATATGAATAATATATATATATTCTACATATGATCCAAAATAGGAAGCTGAAGCTAAATACCAAGACCATGGAATAAATATGTATTGTAAGCATGAAAATGGATTCTTTAACAATTTTCCTTGCAAAATTAATCCATTTCTTTTTTTGTTTTGGCATTCCGAAATGCAGGTAACAAAAGAATGTTTTTACATTAACAGTAAGAGGAAAACAATTACATTAATAAAATTGAAGTATTTACAGTCTTTCGAAATAAGTAGTGTTACAAAAATTCTATGGTTACAATGAAAACATGATATTACATAAAAATAAGTAACCTGACTAAAAATGTTTTTAAAAATTCTATCTTGCTATAGTTGTGTGTTTTCTATGTAATTTTTACTAAAAGTATTATTATGAATCCTTTTCGATCTATTAAATAGTGGAAATGTATCAATATATGTATTACCATTTTCGATTTCCTTATTTGGTCGAGGCCCTTTATTAACTTGACTGTATATTGGGGGTTCATTTTGAATGCCAGGTGCATTTGAACTATTAGAGCTATTCATTATTTCATGCGAGGCACCGTTACTGACGACATCCTCACTCAAAAGGACCGATGTTCTAGAATGACTTGTTGTGCTGTCACTGTCTGTAATCCTACCGCCGCTGCTGTTATACGTCGATGGATATGTTGGATTTGAATTATTCATCATTTCAAAGTCATTTTGATGTCGCTGTTTGCCACTACCAAAAGAATTTCTGCATCAAAACAAAAATCTACCTTGCATTTGTCATTTACAACAATTTAAGCACATGTTAATTATGTAAAAAGTATTTAATGACCTATACATGTGTACTTAAAAAAAAACTGAAGTACTTATATATTATATGTCTTACCGAAATTTCCTGCGCTTGATGTAAATAGCAGCTATCACTACAATAAGTGAAACAAATAGGACAGCCACGCCAATTCCAACATATATTTCCACGTGATCTGCTGTAATAGTTCATACAAATAAAAAAATGTATGAAACATGTATTACAATTGCTATTACATAGTTTCAGCAAAATATTTTTTTTTTTGAAAAATATACTGAAACTATCAAATTAATTACTTAAGGTAGGATACTTCTCTGGTTTCCGAGTAGATGAAATATTCAATGTATATTTGCTTATATGTCTTGTATATTTAGGTGAAAGAGATTTAAAAAACCATATTTTTCTTTCTTTTCACAAAAGTACAACTTTAAATAGAAATGGTAAATTGTGTTCGAAAACTAGCAGGGACTATATTTTTGGCGGAATGGTGGCGTATGAAAATATCTTTTTTTCTGCCTCTCAAAATTATTATAGAACAAAGAATTTAGATATAATTTTTACACAATCAAAGACTTCAAGATTTTTTCAAATGTTAGCCAAATTAATAATAAGGAACTAAAGTTTTAAAATATATCAAATAAATATGATTTTCCAAACAAACTACGATTATGCTAGCTTTTAAAAGCTTTCAATCTAAGTACAGATATGAGCCAAAAATCCATAGAAAGTGTTTTTACTCTCTTAGTAAACGGTCAAAACTTTTGTTTTTGTATCATTTTGTATCTCTATATGACTTCTTTACCATATTTGATAATAGAAAAATTTAAATATAGGGTGCATATAAAAATAACTTAAATATCCTAAATATTTAAGAAAAACAAAGAAAACTCGGATTAGCCAAAATCCATTTTTGTGAAACTATTTGTGTCAATTTGGTAATATCATCTTATAGACCCTATATGGTAATATCTTTTTATGCAAAAAGAAAAGATTTAATCTTTTGAAATAGAAGGCCCAATTGCATGATTGAATGCAGTTATTTTTATTCTTTTGTTAAGGGAAAAGGTAATAGCCTTCACCTGATCTTGACTCTGATATAAAACGGTCAAAACTAATCTAACTGATACCATCACTTAGTAATATTGTCTTCTTAATTCTGTGAAAATTTCATTAATTCTTAAATACAAGAAATACAGTTTTGTGTGAGAAGAATCCTACCCTAAAGAAAGAATCTTGATTTATCTATTTTATGTTTACTTGTAACGATTTTTTTTTTAAAAAAAGTAAGTTAAATTAAAGCTCTTTTTAAAATAGCAAAAAAATTGTGACAGACCTGAGCTATTTGATTGTGATGCCTCCGTTTTCGTCTGATCACTTTTATTATTGTTAATTGTAGTGTTGGTAATCGTGGAGATTATGCCTTTGGTGGTTTCTATGACAAAAAAGCATATTAATTTCACTCGAACGTGATCAGTGTATCGTTTATTTCCCTTGTGGCGGTTTATTTCAAACAACCGAACTCATTCTTAAAAGTTTTGGAAGGATTTTTTTTTACAGTGCATAATAAAATGAGACAAATGCAACCCTTTTATGGTGAGATTTGTGAAGTCTTGGAAGGAATGTTTGGGAAAGCATGATTAAATGAAAATGCAACTTATTTATATGTAAAAATTTGTTGTTGTTTTTTTTTGTGAATAATCAAACTTTTTTTTCAAAATAGGGATACTATGTTGGGATAGCAAATTTTCCTTTTCATAACGACGACTTCCAATAATAAAAATAAATGAATTATAATATATACGTATATTAAAAAGCTCAATGGAAGGCAATAATATGTAAATATGTGTACAGCATTAATTTGAAAATTTTAATGATTTTTAAGTACAGAGTGTATAGAAATATATCATGAGATTATATCTTGTATACCTCTAAGTAAATTTTTCTAGGAGAACTTACAACTGAATTTTCTCCTTTTACAAAAGCAAAGAAAGGGCACATGGACATATATGGAGACACAATAGAGACACAACGCATAAAAAGAAATCTTGTTCATTTAAAAAAAAAAACTACTTTAAAGTAGCGTATCTTTTCCTCTATCTTAATAAGGACATAAATCTTTTCCATATCAATTGCAATCAAATGAAAAACCACAAAACTGGAATTAGATAATAGCAGTTCTGAGAGATCAGTAGAGAGAAAATAATTATAATGAATTGGCATGAGATCGTAACAGAACAGATATACCTGTCATTGAAGGAAAAACAAATGTACACAACATTATGCACAAATATGCCAAACAGTCATAAACACGTCCAAAGATAAGCATACTGCAGTATAGCGTTCTGTTACATTGTATTGTATTTTTTTATGTAAAGGTAAATGCTCTATGTTGTAGATATGTTACAGTAAATATGTGAAATCAGGAATTTCATGTATTTCCTAAACCATTCAGGAAATATATGTATTTACTGGCCATTTTAGGAAATACGTGTAATTACTGAATTGCTAGGAAATTCATGTATTTTCTGAAAATTTTAGCCAATTTTACACGTTTTTACTGAACTAAGCTGGATGAATATTTTATACATATCCTGTAAAAAATTCCGTACGTATACAAATACTAAAATTCTTTTTTATTTTTTTAAAGCAGCATTTGATAAGAACTTTCTACAAATCTGACGTTATCCATTAATTTAAACTGCTAATGTTTAATAGATTCCCTGATATCCAAATACATTTGTAAAGAAGGTATTAATTTGGAGCTTTAACATCAGTGTGATGTATTTGAACTAGTTTATACATAATTTTTATTCTAAAATTTATCAAAAATGTACGATTCTTAAATGTTGATATACTCGGTACTTCTATTTATTTGAGTTTTACATCTTTACAATTATGGTAACATAGATATGTTTTGCAATTTTTAGTTAATTCAAATTTATTAAGCAAAAATTCTATTTTGAACAATTAAAATATGAGGGTGGAAAATTCCTTTTAGTAAAGCTTCATCTTGAATTACTGACTTCTTCAATATCGTTCAATAATGTGTATTTTACAAGATTTTTTGTTGCATTTTTTAGGACACCGTATAAGAATTGTTTTATTTGCAAATAAGATGCTTTAGAGTTTTTAATTTATTGTTAATAATTGTAGCATTAACTGTATGAATATCTACTAATAAAAAATGCCAGTAAGCGATTTTAGTTTTCTAGATTAAATAACTGAAAGTTAGTGAAAGTATGTTGTGATATAGAAAACGCATTCCAAACAATGAAAGCAGAATGTCGTTAAGTTTTTTGGATTAATATTTACAAATAATGCAATTTTTAAAATTCGTAAGTAATTAAAAATATTATTTATTCACGTATGATAATTATGCTAACTGATATCAACATTGAATGCACTGTGCATCTATTTATATCTTATGATTCATATTTAAAATTATCCCGCCAAAATGCAGTCAGTAAATATGTGTAAAAAGTATTGAAAAGTTCAGTAAATACGTGTATTTCCTAACTGAAATTAGTAGATACGTGTATTCTCTGAGCAGAATAGGGATTTCATGTATTTCCTAAAATTCAGGAAATACATGAAATTCCTGATGACACATATTTACTGTAACAGATATACAACCAATAATTATAGCTTCTACCGACTACTTCTACATCTGACATTTATTTACCTGTGACGCTGATCCCGGATTTTGTTGTAATGGAGTCCTTTGGATGACTGGATACGACAGAGGGAGGGCTTGTGGAGGAAAAAGACCCTGTAACATCAAAGCGTATTTACGTCACAAAATCATTAATTAGATTTAATTTAAATCAACAATTTTCCTAATTTTGATGTCATATCAAAATTGAATATATGGTAAACTGTTTTGGAGCAATTGAAAATAATTATTTGGTTCATTAAACTTCTATTTTGCTTAAAAGAATAACAAGATGTTATCTAGGTCTAATATAAAACTTAGCTTCATGTATATTAAAGCAACACGTTTTTACACTTTCATTTTCCCTCCATACATACAAAAAATACTACGTAGTCTAAAATATTGTAAATAGGGAAATTTTATCTTTGCCCCATTCGCCCTTCCCTGGACATATTTCAAACAGACCAAATTCAAAGAACACAGATAAATTTCGTAAGCAGAACTTTGACTGGGTGAATTTGGTATCGTGACAAAATTGTTTGCAATTGTGAAAGGACGAAAATGACATGGAGCGAAAATAACCCTTAACAGTAATAATTCAAACTTACCTGCAGAACATCCGTTTTCTTTATTTCTCTCTTTTGGAAGAAAAACAATATTTTAAATTTGTATATTTTGAAATGAATTAACGATGGAATGATATGTATCTTACACATGCTGTTGAATTAAATAAAATTGAAGCAAGGACTAAATGTCAAAATTATACCACCTTATTATTTCTATCATTATTTATTATTTCAATCGATAAAAGTAAAAAATACAATACATATAAGCATGCTTTATAGAAAACCAGTTCTTACCAATGAAACACAAAGAGGATTTTTTAGAACTACATGGTTGACTGCTTAATGTACCGTGGATTCCAAGGAGTTGGCAATATGGTCTTTTATTTTTAACAAACTCCTCTAAAAAAATAATAAAAATGGTCACACAAAAAACAAGTCAAAAATCACACTAAAAAAACAAACAAACAAACACATAAAACTAATTACAGAATACTCCAAATAAACCCATCCCAAGATTTTAAAGTCATCTACTGGACTTATTTTATACTTCATATCTTCATTACACAAGTTAAGCATAGTGCAAAAACCACCTCTTCTTGTCCACCAGTAGAATTCCCTAGTCACAGCTGTCCAAACAGTGACCGCAGCAGTTAAATTTAACAAAGTCGCAAAAAGACTTGGATTGAAGCTGAAGGGGTTGAAAACTGTCATTGACGAATTGAGACATGCTCCTGCTGCTTCAGAATACGTTCCCCTTTCAGGATAGATGTAACTGTATCTGATGGTCTGGTCTATAACATATGGAATGCAATCGGACTTATAAATACTAAGTTCTTGTTCAGGGCTAAACATTGAGATGGAATTTTAAACACGATTCTTAAAATATTGCAAGTCAAATCACGTAAAACGTGTGTTTTGGTCTTCTACAAAGTTCTCAACATGATTAAAAACAAGAGGCCCATGGGCCACATCGCTCACCTGAGCACTAAGGGTAGGAAAAAGTAGAAAATGGCTTTTTAATGTAAAGTTTAAATCCAAAAGTAGTCCCATGACCAATCGTGGATTTGCTATTTTTTAGAAAATGATTTTAAAGAATTTTCTTATATATATCTTTAAAAACTTTGGTCGGTCATTTTGGCCCCGCCCTATCCCTGGGGGTCATGATTTTTAAAAAAATTGAATCTACACTACTTGAGCATGCTTCCATATAAATATGATGAATTATGGCTTTGTCATTCTTGAGAAGAAGATTTTTAAAGAATTTTCCTATATATTTCTATGTAAAACTTTGGTCGGCCATTTTGGCCCCGCCCTACCCCCAGGGGTCATGATTTGAACAAACTTGAATCTACACTACCTGAGCATGCTTCCATATAAATATGATGATTATGAATTATGGCTTTGTCATTCTTGAGAAGAAGATTTTTAAAGAATTTTCCTATATATTTCTATGTAAAACTTTGGTCGGCCATTTTGGCCCCGCCCTACCCCCAGGGGTCATGATTTGAACAAACTTGAATCTACACTACCTGAGCATGCTTCCATATAAATATGATGAATTATGGCTTTGTCATTCTCTCTTTTGAGAAGAAGATTTTTAAAGAATTTTCCTATATATTTCTATGTAAAACTTTGTATTTTGGCCCCGCCCTATTTTGAACAAATTTGAATCTACACTACCTGAGCATACTTCCATATAAATATGATGAGTTATGGCATTGTCATTCTTGAGAAGAAGATTTTTAAAGAATTTTCCTATATATTTCTATGTTAAACTTTGGTCGGCCATTTTGGCCCCGCCCTACCCCTGGGGGTCACGATTTGAACAAAATTGAATCTACACTACTTGAGCATGCTTCCATATAAATATGATGAATTATGGCTTTGTCATTCTTGAGAAGAAGATTTTTAAAGAATTTTCCTATATATTTCTATGTAAAACTTTGGTCGGCCATTTTGGCCCCGCCCTACCCCCAGGGGTCATGATTTTAACAAACTTGAATCTACACTACCTGAGGATATTTCCCCATAAGTTTCATCTTTCCTGGCACAGTGGTTATTGAGAAGAAGATTTTTTAAATATGCCACCAAATTTTCATTAATTCCCAATTATCTCCCCTTGAATGAGGGCATGGCCCTTCACACACAAACCTGAATCCCCTTCACCCAAGGATACTTTGTGGCAAGTTTGGTTGAAATTGGCACGGTAAAGAAGTCGAAAATGTGAAACACACAGACAGACGGACAGACGGACAGACAGACGGACGCCGGACAAAATGTGATCAGAAAAGCTCACTTGAGCTTTCAGCTCAGGTGAGCTAAAAATTAATCTTGAATGTGATGTAAAACAATATAAAATCAATAAATCAATGGTTTTAGAGAAGAATTAGTACATTTATCTAGTTTAGAAAATGTACTGGTATTTTAGATCGATTGTGTTAAGTTGCTTGACACAAATTCTAGTACTGTTCTTGATGGCTGAAAACCACTAATTATTTTACCAATAACGTTTTCCTTAAGGTGGGATTCTGCTCTGGTTTCTGACTAGATGGAATATTCAAAGTACATTTATTGATATGTCTTATGTATTTCGATGTAAGAGATTTAAAAGACCATATTTTTCTTTCCTCGTCACAATTATACAACTTTAAATATAAATGGTAAACTGCGTTTGAAAACTAGCAGAGACTATATTTTCGGCGGAATGGTGGCGTATGAAAATATCTTCTTTTCTGCCTCTCAAAGTTATTATATAACATTGAATTTAGTTATATTTTTTACGCAATCAAAGACTGGAGGAAATTTTCAAATGTTAGTTAAATCAATAATAAGGGACTAAAGTGTCAAAATATATAAAATAAATAAGATTTTTCACACATACTAGAACTATGTTGGCTTTTAAATGCTTCAATTCTAAGTACAGATATGAGCCAAAAATCCATAGAAAGTGTCATTTCTCTCTTAGTAAACGGTCAAAACTTTTAGTTTTTGTATCATTTTGTACCTTTATGTGACAACTTTACTATATGTGAAAATTGGAAAAAGTTAAATATAGAAAGCATATAAAAATAACTAATAAATCCTAAAAAATTAAGAAAAGTAGAGGAAATTCGGATTAGCAAATATCCATTTTATTTAAATTATCCATGTCAATTTGGTAATATCATCAGTTCTTAAAGGCCCTATATGGTAATATCTTTTAATGCAAAAAGAAAAACATTCAATCTTTTGAATTACAAGTAGGGATCGCATGATTGGAAACAGTAATTTTTTATTCTTAATGTCCAGGAAAATGGTAATGACCTTGACCTGACCTTGCCTCTAATATCAAACGGTCAAATTTAGTCTCACTCATACCATCACATAGTGATATTGTCCTCTTGATTCTGTGAAAATTTCATTTATTTTTAAATAAAAGAAATGTGAGAAGAATCCTACCTTAACAGATTACTGTATTTATAAAATATATTGTAAAAATTCAAACAATTCATTTCATTTGATCCAGGTTTCAGTTTGAAAATAACACAACTACCACCGTATTGGTTATTTCACAAACTACTCTTGAATTTGATTATAGTTGTAGACTTTAGAGGGCATACAAAATCTAAACATATAAGTATATGAAAAAACAACTAATTTGATAGAATCTACAATTTAAATTCATAATCATTAAACAACAGAGAAAAAAATCCAACTCAATATCACCAAGCATATTCTATAAACTATATATAACTGTCGTTAGAAAGACGTTTAATAGTTGGATAGATATAGACAGAATCTCATGTTGAGAGCTAATATAAAAAGACAAACCTTTGATATCCTGACAAATAACAGAGTAGGTCCCATCACACGGGGCCTGTTGTAAGGTGTACGTTATTGGAAATATCTTATAATTCATTACAGCAATAATACATTGTTTGTCAGCCTCCGTGAACTCATCTGCATCCATACTGAAATCTCGCACTAAAAAGATTTGTAAAATTTAGTAAAATTAAAATATAACAATTTTTCCCTGAGCAATTTTGTTAGAAAACTTAATTCAAATGTTTAGATATACATGTATTATGACTTACATGTATCATAAACGACTGCTGTTGTTAGGTTGTAATATCTCTCGATGCTTGCTCCACTTAATAAACAATAACATATATCGGCCTGAAAATATTTTTTTCAATTTATTAAACTAGAAATCTTTAAAAATTCCTAAAAGGGTTTCTGTTTTAGTCAATGATCGGCATCACTTGAGTTTTAAAGACATCTTAAAGCACACCCATGTATAAAGTTTAGTATCAACTACACAAACTTTGGAAAACAGCAAACGTATATATGAAATGTCTTACCAGCAATACAAATTTTGGAAAAGCTTGGCATTTTGATGCACAGTGGTATAGCTCAGCTTGGGTCATAGTAATATTGTGCACAAAGGCGTTGATATTTGATGTTAGTCCTGTGACAAATTATTATGCAAAGCTTTTTAAAAAATCATTCTGAAGATAATCTTGGACAATGCCCAAAAAGTTAAAATCAAAATATTTTGCAGTACCTATGGACACTACCCATGGACTAACATACAACTGATAGTTTGTCCACGTCTCGTTCAGTCTATTCATGTCGAGGATTTCAGTCACATTCACCATATCCATATCCAGCAAATCCGAGCTCCACAAACGTCCACACATGTCTTCACACTGACGTGCAGCCTCTTCTTTGTCAAAATCGTATAACACCTCATGGATGTAGTCCACCTGAGGCCGCGGTGTTGTCCTAGTTGGTATAGTTATAAGACTGGTCTGGGTGGTGTCAGGTACAGTGGTGGTGGTGGTGGTAGGAGAGCTGGTGGTGCTCGTGGTTGTAGTTGTCGTTGAGCTGGTGGTTGTTTTCTTCTCTTTCAAATGATATAGAAAAGTAAATGTTTTATCAGAGATGTTGCAAAGAATGTTGAATGCAGTAGAGAACTAGTATTTAACTTAGATGTTTATGAATGCATGTATTTTTAATTTTTCACACAAAGATATTCCGGCATAAAAATGTTTTTGTATTTACTGGATCCTGTCGCTCCAGTTTTTGTTCGATGTTATTTTTACTAGTTTTCCTAGCTGAGGCTACGATGGGTACAGATCTGTGAAATCTTTTCAATTTTCAGCTTGGCAACTACCAACTTGCAGTTATTTAGCAGATGCCATATATGAGTGCAGGTAAAATACCGAAGTTTGAAGAAATAAAATTATTGTTGATTGATGAATTTTGTAATATTATTCAGTTCAAAGTTCAGAATAAGAAATTATGGAAACAAACACATTACTTTGTGGCTTACTCATGGCTACAGTTTCCCCTTGATTTTTGATTTTAAAATAAATTTTGGAATTTTTTTTTCAATTTACAGTATGAAAACCATTAGAATTTGATTTTATCATTTTTTTTCTTTTTAAAGTACCTTTCACACAAATGGAATATAACTTTTCTGTACAATCTGTTGTTACCATTTCTCCGCTCAGTAAAACTTTCGTACAATATCTACCAATTTTCGAATTTCCACAATCTGAAATAAATCCATCACATAAGGGAATAGTTCAGAAACACAATAATTACTGTAAATCACAAAGTACTGTGAAATGTGTCAATTAAACGAAAAAAGACCTGTATTAAATAAGTGGTTCCTTCTTGTTACAGAAGTCCAGTATGTTCCAGTTCCTAGCCGATTTTGGTAAATATGGAAACTAGAAAAGGAGAAACCAAGCCTTGCGCTTTTGTTGTTACAAAATTCTTCTGAAGTTTCGAAATCCATAGGTCCTGTGCTAGTGAAGTTTACGGAATCGTCTATAACATTAAAAATATGTTTAAGAAAAATAAGTTTGAATAATGATGTATCAATTCAATAAGGCTGTATCTCTTGGGAAATACATATGTTACATATTTTTCTAAATATAGGAAATACAGAAAGGCTCACATATCAGCTGGGCATTTAAGTAAAAATAACACTTATTAAACAGTTTTATCAATTTGACTCCGCTTGATTTTTTTACCTGTTTGGCATAATGCTTTTGCTGAATCACTTGAATCCCGTACAGTAAGTGTATAGACCACTGGGTAAACATCAGTATTTAAATCAATTTGTACAACCTCCACACCAATCGAGGGAACAACGTCTTCTATTACCTCCACTCCCTCTAGAAATAAAGGATATATTTGAATTTAAAAACTGAAAGATTGTACATGGTGGAAGATGATTCTCTTCATAGAAGTGGACACGCTTTCGCCTACATCATTAAAAACATGTCCAATTCTCAAAAAGAGAAGAGATAGTTGATACTTACTAGTTGTAAACAGTTCTATATCCTCTTCATTGTCCATAGCTTTATCAAGGTATGATATGGTACTGATGTTTAAACAGCTTCTCTTCTGAAATATTAAAGTACCATTTTATACGAATATAAGTGTCAAACAGGTACAATCGTGCTTTGGAAAAAATATTAAAAATTAATGCTTTCTCACTTACTTTTAATCCAAAATACCAACAATGTTTACACATTGAAGCACACTCATAAATATCAGTGTCATCAGACAAAGAAACGACCGTGTTGTTAGTTGTAAATCTTCCTAAGATGGAGAAAAAAGCTAGGTTAAAACAATGCATTGAAAAAAATCCAGCACTTACCGTCACAGATCACTCAAATTAAATTTTGTCAAATACATGTCTTCTAATAATTGAAATCAAACGCGATGTATATTATGAAATTTATATAATGCATATAAACATTATATCTCAAACATACCGTTTCATTTTACACATACCAACAAATAATATCCAGTTCCCAACATCTAATCTACTATTAACATAGATTGCATCCAAATTCTGATCTTTCATCACTGAAGTTAAATTGAAGTGGTCATCTTCTGTCTCCATTCCTTCATAGTATAAGACCTTGGAGTCACTACAACAAGACTCTTGCCACTCAGACCATGTTTTCTTATTTGGATCCTCCGTAGTTGTAATCAGTTCGGTTGTTTTGATTTCTATGAAAGTCCCCGTTGTTGCTGTTGTGTTTATAACAGTACTTAGATCCAGTGATGATTCACTTGTTATAGTCACTGCTGGTATGGTAATGTTTTCAATATCAGTACTGCTTACTTGGTTGAAGTTTGTTGATTCTGTAGTGACAACTTCTGACGTAAATTGTGTTGTAACAGCTTCTGTTGTTGGTATAACTGATGTAGTTGATTGAAATGTTGTTTCCATTCCTACAAATATTTTCAATCTTTTATTATAAAACTTTTAAAAGATGAAATTTCTTGTGAAAAGCTTCGATTTACAACAGCAGCTTACCAGTTGAGCAAACTGTTGTGTGACTTTCTCCACAATCTACTTTCCTAACAGTCCCATTCATTGATATTATTTTGCAATAATCCGGAGAATAATCAAAATCACAGAATGTTTGAATCCATGTATTTCTTTTGAAAATTCCTGTCCACACTTGTACATTAGATGCCATGTATTTGGCAAAGTATTTTGTGTTTTCTAGTGCACGTGATTGGAAGGTGACAGGTGTAAAAGGAACTGCAGATTTATTTTCACAGTACAGAACACCATCCATGAAGGTAACATCTTTTTCAGAAAAATAATATTCGATCTGTGTTCCTGTAATAAAGAAGGATGAAAGTCATATGTTTTACTAATGCAATAAAGCAGCAGTTATTGACATTTAACATTAAGATGCTTTAGATTGTCTCCGTAAAATTTTCATTGGTTGTATGAATTAAGAAAAGTGAGAATTATTCGATTCTAATAGAGTAAATTCTAGGTAAATACCTTGTTTATTTTGACAGAGTATTCCGGATGTATTATTACACCTTTGCTCTCTCAGTGTATAAGTGATTGGCCTGACTTTTGTATTCAGATGGGCGACGATACAAATATCCCCTTCAATGCTGGTTAGATTATCATTTGCTACATTGGTCCTTGTAATAATTTGGTTTATATTTTGTCCCACTAAAATGTTTATCATTTAAATGTATTTCACGAAAGAAAACACAAAAAATACAATGTACCTGTGATTCATTGGTGATCTTTTGAGCATGAACTTATATGTGTAGGTGACAGTGAAATGGGAGAATAAGTTAATGTTCATTGCAAAACTCATGCCATTTGAAAAATATAATTATAATATCATATAACATACCAATTATAGAACCAGCCTGTTTCTGAAATTCAGGTAAAGTATTGAAACAACTACACTCCACATCCTAAAATTAGATAAAATATAATTCATACCATAACTTGAATAAAAACCGAGAAAATTGCAATACATTTGGAAAAAATCATACCTTTTCATAAATGTTTGCTTGAAAGTAGTTTTCATTCTGACAATTGCCTGTGCACCGATAAGCCTTTCTTAGCTTTTCCGAAGTGGAATCAGTCATATTCTTAAAATCATATTCTTCTGATCTAAGATCTAAAATATAAGAGAATCTGATGTCTTTCTTTTAATTGAACAGGTTTTTTTTTTAATGTAGCATTGACTTTCATTTTCACAATATTCTTGAAAAAATTGACGAATTACATTTAAGCATAACCCAGGGTCCCAGAGATAAAACTTCATCTAACCAAACTTCAGTAGAATCGTCCACCATAGATGTGTTCGAATGTTTCAACCAAGTATCGTCTTTTGTTGATACAAGAACTTGTGACGAATTGCAGCAGTATCTATTCGCCATTATCCAAGAACGAGGTGGGTTCGATTTCGTGGTCATGGATGGAATCGTTGATTGTGGTAATTCTTGTGAAGTCAGATTTAGAGTTGTCGGTTGATTGGAAGTTCTCACAGATTCAGTTACTGTTGGCCCCATAGACTGATTCTGGAAGATTTCTTTGATGACCACGGAAGAAAAAAATTGGAAGCAAATTAACGATGAGAGAATTTACATGTGAAATTTAAAAGAGGTGCACAATGGCACCATGAAATGAAGAATCTGTGAAAGTATCATTAAATTTTGTTCAGTGGTATAGGAGGTGTTGCTGATAAGAGATGGGTACCCCCCCCCCCCTTATTATATATAGTAAGAATCACAGTGTCAATGATTTGCTACTGTAACCCGAAATGTCCAATCAAAAAAAGTAAAATAGGAGGGTACTTTGTAACAACAGTACTGTAAAAGTCTCATTGATTTCATTTATTGGTACATGTATAAGTTGTGGATAAGAAATGGGTACCCCAAAGTGTAAAGGACGCACGGGCGGATGGACACCGCAATTGCTATACACCCCCAGCTTTTCAAACGGAGGTATAAATATACAGTTGAACTAGGTATAATTGTGAATCTGAATCACCATTTGAATATATTATAAATACAATACGATCTTTAAAACAACGTTCAACTGAAAATGTAAATTTAAAAATTCTAGTTCATATAGTACAAAAACGAACGAATAGACAGAAATTCATATATATAGATATATGTAAAAAAAAAACTTTAATTTAAAGTACGCTTTGCACGGAATGAAGGGTATAAGTAAATTGAAAGCAAATTTACGAAAAGTATTCAAGATTAAAAATCCATTTAACCCCTTCCATGGCAAAGATTTTGAGCATTTCTAGACAAATTGATATTAAGATTTCAATTCAGTTTTGGGGGTATTTCATGTAATTTTTGTAATGTATATATATTCTGAAAGCAGGTATTTTGTTCTTTCTGAAAATGATTATAAAAAATTCATTTCAGTTGCCATGGCAACGAAATACATTATAATCATGCTGGAATTCCCCTTTATTAAATAATGAGTTTCATTCTATTTTTTGCTTAGCTAAATATATTAAAAAATATTTTATTGTTGTGTTGAAAATTATGAACATGTACATTTTTTACAAAACAATTTTAAGTATTTTGGGGGGATTGGGTAGGGTTTGGATGTAAACACCAGAATTTAGCATTTTTTACATATAACGTGTTACCCCCGCATTGATTTCAATAATGGCAAAATGGCTCAAAAAGTGTGCAAAGTTTTACTCAAGCTACTAGAAAACTGGTACAGCCAATAAAAATATTTTCTGTATAATATTTTACCGTATTTATTTTCTCTTTCCAACGGTGCAAGATTTATTCTTATATTCCCAGTATTAACTAAGTTATGAATGCTTTTTCACACTATTCTTGTTTTTCAAGTCAGATGCGTAGAAAAGCGTATATGCCTTGTAAGGGGTTAAACAATACAAATCAGAAGCAGAGCAAAGACGGACCTCCAAATCATCAGAGGTGGGATCAGGTGTCAGAGAGGTATAAACATCCCCTGTCGGGTGGTTTTGTCATTATCGGGAAAAACAGAAAAATCCTTGGACATTTCAGTGTGTAAATAATGGCCTGGCACATTAGTAAGAAAAACGTCATTCAGAAATTGACATAGTGATAGATGTACTTCTGACAAGGGCATTGCTTCTCAAAATGCGACTTTAATAAATATCCTGTTCCATCAACTTGTTTGTCAATAAATTGTTTTGTTTTATGTTAATTAAAAATCATGCCCTTGCGTATCAAATAAATTTTTTTAATGACATGGAGTTATTATTTGGTCTTAGTTACCTTTCGATAAAATACAGACCTGTTTTTTAATATATCCTACCTGAACAAATTTCCTGAAAATTGAGTGTGAAGTTCAGCATTGTCTCTGAAGCGTTTTCTTTTTTAAGGTATGTACAATGAAGACCTTGAGAACAGTTTGTACAAAAACCTGTAAATATTATTTTTATGTTTAGAAACTTAAACACTTGTTGTTATTTATTTAAAAATATACTTTTAGGCAATGTAACGTTTCAAGCAATTTGGTCATTAATGATTTACATGTATGAAATTCCAAGCAATCAGGGTTTTCATAAATATTCATACAGAAACCTTTAGAGGCACTTGTGGATATTGCAAAAGGATCATTATATAAGTTGAAATCCTGTCCTATAAAATTCTACTAGATATGAAACAAGAAATGGTCCCTAATGTTGACTCAAAGCAAACAATATATCTGTCAAATCGTCAAAATAAGAGGACCTTGGTAAATATCTTTATCAAATCAGTAGAAAAATCATTAAAAGTATCTGTTGTGTCATGCCATGTTCTATCATAGGTTTGCAAGATAAAAACCCCATATAAGACTATTTGAATTCGTAAAAAATGCTGATATATATTACAACGATGCAAAACTCATCGAATCATGCCAAACAGTCTAAACAATCTTTTTTTTTAAACTGGTGATTTGAAATCAATATATTTTAAAAAGAAAATCGATAATAAAACAAAATTTTCAAATATGTAGGCCTATTTAAATTTGTGTGTATTTTTTTTAAATCTGTAAGTTTTACGCACATGTGTTTAATGCAACTCGAGACAATGACAAAAAACTAAATCTGTTTGGTTGGAAAGAAACATACATCCACCTGCCAAAAAAAACCCCAAAACAACTACTGTTTATAATAACAATGCATTTCCTTTTCCTGAAATTGAAGAAATATTGTGACAAAGGAATATTTTTTTTCAAATCAACAATGTCCTAAAAACCAAATATACTCAATAACTTTAAACATTATTTTCTTTCAAATATCGTTATTTACTCGGAAATAAAACAAAATGATACAAAAAGAAAATGTATCTATCAAAATTGGTAAAATGTGACATTCTGCAATGTTACTGATAAAAAGGGTTGATCATAAGTAAACAGACTGTAATAATGAACTAGTAAAGCAATGTATCCCTACCTAATCTTATGTTAACATTTAAATCTTGGTCTTTCTCTGTCTCGCTGATATTATGACAACTACAGAGTGCTGTAGTAACCCCTGCATGTGGTAAGGAATTATTACATCCCGATGTCTGAGCCTGTCAAAAAATCCATTACAAAAAACGATGTGAATAATGTAGTGAATCAGTCATTTCGACTTAAACTAAATAACAACGAATTATCAAGTTCATATCCCCTGAAACTATTTGTAAATATTCAATACTTCAGATAAGATAATTCCTCAAAAAGCTTTTGCAGTAGAGTAAATATTATGCAATTTTAATAGCCAATTTATAAAAATTGAACAAAAAACTTCGGATTTCCCCCAGACATATGAGGACTCGATAAACACTATAATTGAGACCGTCATATTTTCATAGATGTATTTTGTTTCTTACCTTCTTATAAATCAAAAGTGGATTTTTAAAAAATCATTTTTTAAGTCATTAAGTCATTTAAAACAAGACATATGATTTTCCATTTTTAAAAGAAAATTTTCTTTAGTAAATAACTTTTCCTCGAAATGAATTAAAAACTAGGCTTTTTTATATGATCGACGACCGCTTTTTTTTTTTTTTTAGAATGGAGCTCTGAAATTCCATATCGTGTAATTGGTAATCAACAAAAGTACTTTGTTAAAATAACTTTGACTCAACTGCATATTGCGTTTAAGTCCTCAAGCTAATTTTTCACCCAAGAGCATACTCTGAGTAAGATCAATTCTTAAACCAGAACAGGCTACTGTAATATAGGTTGATGAAACAGGGATTTCAAAAACCTCGTTGTAAGTTAGAATTTCGAATATTATATGGGGCTGATAAAATGACTTTGTTAGCAAATTTGACCCATTTTATGGTTTATTTTGAATGACTTATTTCATTCCAATTGGACCTTTGCTATTATATAAAATGTTTTTAATAAGTCAATCATTGTACAGGGTCATTAAAATGTTCTTTTTACAAACATTAAGTTCGCAATCTTTGTCTTTTTCTTTGATTTCATACAAACTGTTCTATGCTTACCATTAAAGTTTTGATGCATGATGAACAGAAATCTGTGCAATTTTCATCCCCATGGATACTATTTTCACATGAATCTGATAAAAAATAAAAATTAAATCGATCAAATTGAAGTGAAATTCGTTTTAAGATGTAGACAAAAATAACAAAAGTTCAATATCAATATCTTACCGCATGCTGTGTAACATACAGATGCATTTGGATTTTGTCTCACTAAGAGACAGCTGTTGTTAACATTGTCAGTAAAGCAAACAGTCTCCCCTCTGGTACAGATTGTATTGTTTACAATGTAAAATACCTCATCTTTTTGCAATTGAGAATGACTAGGTATAATTACATAAAAACTCACTGAAAAGGAAAATTTACAGTACTTTTATTTCTAAAAATTGTCAAATAAAAGTAATAAGTAAAAGTAATAATACAAGTATATTTTGTTAATGGTTACTTACTGTTAAGATACAAAAATATCTCGTAAAAATTATTTTGCAGTATTAGCCAACATATCAATAAATATTCACATTTTAGACTTCTAATTAACTTCATATAAACTATGCCTATGAAAAAAAAAAGATGTAACAATAAAAATAATTTACAATGCTTATTTTGTTATCATTGCCGCTATTGAAAATAACACTGCGACATTTAAGTCCGGACACGACAAAGTCCGGACTTTTAGGGACCCTTTCGAAAAGACCTACAAAAATTTTTTTTCTATATTTTGGTGGGATTTTTTATTCTGACCTCATCATGTCAATCTCAACTTCCACATTGTAGTAGTTTTCTCATAAACCTCTGTCAAAACCTAAAATCCCATGGGAGAATGGCGGGATTTTTCATCCCACCAAAAATCCCACCAAAATCCCATGGGAGAAAAAAATCTTTGAGGGATTTTTTCTCCCATGGGATTTTTTCTCCCATAATAAGCGGCATAGGATTAAAAATCCCATATTTGCCCTTCTTAGGATTAAAAATCCTGCAAAGTACATAATACTGGGTATTTTTAATCCCATGGGATAAATAAATAAGCAGATATGGGAATAATGGGATAAGAATGCAATGTCTGAATATACTTTATGAAGCATTTTATCTTCAATTATATACAAATTCAAATTATATACCCATTGTTAAACTGCTTTTGTAGAGCCATTTTAATTAAAGTGAGGGTCATAAACAAATACTATTGCCAGAGAAAACAAAATGACTTGCCAAGAGAAGAGGAGTGTCTGAGATACTGATTTTTATTTGTTAAGAAAAAGTACAACCAACCGAAAGGGGACTTAAATTTGTGCTAGTGACACTGTCTTATCTTTGTTTAAATACAATACTGAAATCTCCTGATTCTGCTGAGTAATGACCAGTTTCCAAAACTGCTTCCTGATGGAAAAAACTGCATTAGTGGGAATCTTCTGTAAACACTTGAAAGGACAGCAATTTTTCTTTTTAAAAACTATAATAAAAAAATCCTTTGATCCACCACAAATATTTTAAAATAAAAAATTTACTCCTCAAGGATCCACCACTAATGTAAGTTAAGACCATGATCACACATGGCATATAAGCTTAATGTTGAAATCAGTTAGCCATAATCAATTATATCCTTTGATCCACTAAAAATATTTAAAAAATAATAAAATTAATATCCACTCCCCATGGATCCACCACTTATAAGTTTAGATCTTGATCATACATGACATATAATCGTAATGTTTGAAATCAATTAGCTATAAGCCTATAATCATTAATATCCTTTTACCCATCACAAATACATGTATTTAAAATTAATATCCACTCCCCTTGGATCAACCACAACTACTATATAACATAAATATCCACTCCTCCTTGGACCCATCCCTTTAAAATTAAGATCATGATCAAACATGACATATAAGCTAAATGTCTGATATAAATTAACCACAATCATTGATCATTAATATTCTTTGATACTGCACCCACCACAAATATTTAAAAAAGATTAATATCCACCCCCTTGGATCCACCACTTATAAGTTTAGATTTTGATCACACATGATATATCAGTTAAATGTTTAAAATCAATTAACCATAAACATCACATGATCATTATTGATTCCTTTGACACATTACAAAATTTAATATTTAAAAATATATCTATCCACCCCCTTGGATCCACCTCAACTATCAAAACAATTACTGGTGAAATATACATGCCTTTGATCCATCACTTATCACACAAAGAAAGGTTACTTAAATGTTTAAATAAATGTGCAATAATAATTAGTATATGCCATGATGATCTACAATAAGCATGATAAGTAATTAAAAAATCAATATCAACTCCCCTTGGATCCACCACTCATAACTTTGGACCATGATATCACATGACTTATAAGCAAACTGTTTAAAATCAATTAGCCATAATCAAAAAGATAAAGCCTCTTAATCAGATCAACCTACAAATAACTCATTTTGATTTGTCTAGGGTAAATGTGAAATTCAAAACCATGCAATAAACAAAGGAAAATATTGGAACCCATTCCCTTTAGATCCACCATCTGTCTTTTGGATATTGATCACCAATCTGATTCATTCTCTTTATCTTTTAATAATTATGTTGGGTATCTTCATCATCTTTATGAATGAATATATAAGAATGAAATTTAATTACATCTCGTATGTTTCTCTTTATTAACCTAACTGAAATAACCACCTACCGGCAAAAAAAAACAAAAAAAAAAAAACAGGTACATGTAATGAACTTGATGAAATAAGACATTTTTATCAATGCATTCAAAGCTTAAAACTACAGTGCTTTATTTACCACTAGTTAGTTTTTGAAATGTATCCCTATCACCATGATCACATCCATCAGCTTGACTATTAAAACTACAGTGGATAACAAATCAATTAAGTTTTTACATACATTATGTTCACTATAATTAATGTTAGAATTTATATGTTGGAAGTGAACAATAATTCTTTATGTTTCTAATTTAGTGTTACTAGGGGTTTTGAAAAAACATTAAATTGTGAAAATGTTTGCATTATTCAACATGTTCAAAGAAATATACAAAAACAAGAGGCCCATGGGCCACATCGCTCACCTGAGAAGCTTTGACCATTCTGTTCTTTACCAGATTTCACCCTTGTTATACATAATGCATCCCCACCCTACCCCACTGATCATAATTTAGACATTTTGAAATCTACACTACCACATGATCCTTCCATGGGCACATATGTTTCAGCTTTTTGGCCCAGTGGTTCCCGAGAAGAAGATTTTCAAAGATTTTTCCTATATATTTCTATGTAAAACTTTGATTCCCTATAATGGCCCTGCCCTTCCCCCGGGGGTCATGATTCCTACAATTTAGAATTTACACTACCCCAGAATGCTTCTACATAAGCTTCACTTTTTCTGGCCCAGTGGTACTTAAGAAGAAAATTTTCAAAGATTTTTTCTATATATTTCTATATAAAACTTTGATTCCCCATTGTGTCCCCACCCATCCCCCGGGGGTCATTAATTGAACAATTTAGAATCTACATTATACCAGGATGCTTCCACATAAGTTTCAGCTTTTCTGGCCCAGTGGTTCTTGAGAAGAAGATTTTCAAAGATTTTTCCTATATATTTCTATGTAAAAATTTGATACCCCATTGTGGCCCCGCCCTTTCCCTGGGGGTCATGATTTGAACAATTTAGAATCTACACTATACCAGGATGCTTCCACATAAGTTTCAGCTTTTCTGGCCCAGTGGTTCTTGAGAAGAAGATTTTCAAAGATTTTTCCTATATATTTCTTTATAAAACTTTGATTCCCCATTGTGGCCCCATCCATCCCCCGGGGGTCATTATTTGAACAATTTAGAATCTACATTATACCAGGATGCTTCCACATAAGTTTCAGCTTTTCTGGCCCAGTGGTTCTTGAGAAGAAGATATTCAAAGATTTTTCCTATATATTTCTATGTAAAACTGTGATTCCCCATTGTGGCCCCGCCCTTCCCCCGGGGGTCATGACTTGAACAATTTAGAATCTACACTATACCAGGATGCTTCCACATAAGTTTCAGCTTTTCTGGCCCAGTGGTTCTTGAGAAGAAGATTTTCAAAGATTTTTCCTATATATTTCTATGTAAAACTTTGATTCCCCATTGTGGCCCCGCCCTTCCCCCGGGGGTCATGATTTGAACAATTTAGAATCTACACTATACCAGGATGCTTCCATATAAGTTTCAGCTTTTCTGGCCAAGTGGTTCTTGAGAAGAAGATTTTCAAAGATTTTTCCTATATATTTCTATGTAAAACTTTGATTCCCCATTGTGGCCCCGCCCTTCCCCCTGGGGTCATGATTTGAATAATTTAGCATCTACACTACCCCAGGATGCTTCCACATAAGTTTCAGCTTTACTGGCCCAGTGGTTATTGAGAAGAAGATTTTTTAATGACCCCACCCTATTTTTGTCTTTTCTTGATTATCTCCCCTTGCGAGGGGATATGTCCCTTTTAACAATTTAAATTCCCCTTTACCCAAGGATGCTTTGTACCAAGTTTGGTCAAAATTGGCCCAGTGGTTCTTGAGAAGAAGTTGTGAAAAGTTTACAGACGGACGGACGGACAGACGGACGGACGACGGACAAAATGTGATCAGAAAAGCTCACTTGAGCCTTCGGCTCAGGTGAGCTAACAAGATGTGTTTATGAAACACTGTGCCCCCACAGCAACAAAGTTTGAAAAATCTATTCTTAGCATAAAGGTTACAGTCAAGGTCACAAGGTCATTGACCTTGGTGTCGTTTGAAAGCACTTAACTAGTGAAGTAGGCATACCAAATATCAAGTCTCTATCTCCTATTGTTTAAAAGTTATATCGAAAGTTCGAAAAATCTAATTTTAGCATATAGGTCACAGTCAGGGTCAAAAGGTCATTGTCCTTGGTGTCAGATGAAAGTGCTTAATTAGTGGAGTCTATGCATTTTATATATGAAGTCTCTATCTTGATCTGTTCAAAAGTTATGGCGAAAGTTAAAGTTGATAACAAATAGAACAAGCATTCTGAGAGTATTGCATAAGCAATACATGTCCCCTACCGGGTTCCCCTTTTTCTTCTGGATGTCATTTTATATGCAACATGATAATATGCAAAAGTCATGTCCAAGGTAAAACTGAAAGATTTTCAAGTTGTAAATGCCTTAAAACTAATAAAATAATCCACATTAAGACGAAAATTCAACTCATTTCTCCACCGTCCTTTCCTCGCTTCATATTTTTGTCGACAATCGGAAGTTAGCGCAGTTCAAATCCGATCTCAATTAAGCGATTATGAAAAAATATTCAAAATGCCCTAATTCTGTCAAAAATCAATGAAGCAAAGCAAAATTCAAACTTGATCTGTAACTCATTAAGATACACTCACATACCAAAATTCAGCTCAATATCTGCAAGCGTTTAGAAATTTGTTTCTGTTTGCGTGGAAAAATCAGTAATAACATTTTCAAAATGTTAGGATAAAAAAATTCCCGAAATAAAACTATTTTGCTGTATTTTTAATACATATGAAGGTAGATATAAATTCTTTTTTTTAATTTAGCATAAGGTTATATTTCTGAAGCATTCAAAATTTCCTCATTATGAAAAAAAAATATTTACCTGAAATACATAATGTTATATATCGAAGTCCTATATACACCATTGCTGACAATGTAAAGTGATGAAAGGCTCACCAAAGATGTTTATTTCAAAGATCTGAAATAGTCTTAAAGTGTCAGTGATCAACGCAAACGTCGACTGTTCATGTCAGAAACTCGTTGTTGTTTAGATGATATTAATAATTATTATGCTTCCTGTCAGTTTGTCTCTACATAACCCATACCCTACTATTCTCGCATAGTGGTCTAAGGATTTATATAGCGTAAGCATACTATGCCGAAATAGTGCACGGCTTTATTTTCTGAATAAAATTCTTCCATGCACATGCCGGGGATCGAACTCACGACCATGAGATTGTCAGTCCGATGCCTTATCGATTACGCCATAGAGACGATCACTGATTGGATAATTTTATTAAATATATAAACTTAATTTATACAATTGACACAAGAAGGAGAAAATAGACAAATATTATTTGAAAACAGTTATATTATTCTAAGGAACTTTAGATTAATGTGTACAACAAACTTTCAAACTAATTACATACAGATCGTTAGATGAACTGATTTTATAGGGTCATTAAAATGCTTTTTTATATGACGCTTGATTGAAGGATGTAAAAGAAAATTATCAATGAGAATCGACGTCTGCAAACAAATAAGGCTTACGAACAAAACAGAAAATAAAGATGTGTTGCTTTGGGACAGAAAATCCCGACTTATTTAGAGAAAATACTAGTAACCAAAATAACTAAGCATGCAAACAATTTTAGCATGAATATTTTGAATTAGTTCTTACAGGTGCGCTGTTTAAGCACCGATATTTTCAGGAAAAAGTCAAATAGATTGCCGCATAAATAATTACAACAGTCAGCATAATAATAACAATAGTGTTGCATTATGCATGTACTATGCCTAAATAGTAGGCAGGGTTTGACACATAGTGCACTCGCCTCCGGCTCGTGCACCATGTGTCAAACCCTGCCTACTATTTAGGCATAGTACATGCATAATGCAACACTATTATATAAATACAAGAGTATATTGGAAACTTCTCACACTTTCTTTTTGAGCCATTCAACTAACCTTTGAGAGGCAGTTTGCATGCCGAGCGTTCTGGAGAGATAACTTCAGTGAGGGAGTGGATTACAGTATCGTCCGGGTGCGATGTGACCCCATGATGAGATTACCCCCTGGTATGGAAGATTATCGGACTGAAAAAAAGAATGTATCAATCTCATATCTCTAGAAAGTGATGCAACAAAGGGGCAAACATATCGTATTGTTCCTATGAGAACATGTACGTAGTATGCAAAGGTTGGGGGAACTGGTGCTCATTATTTCCAGATTTTTTTGTTAAATAAGTATTAATTTGTTAATTTGTTAATTTTTTTATTGCTAGAAACGTTGGCCACCTACATTTGCTTCAGTGTGTTAAAGTTTTCCGCTTCTTACATCCACAATGATAGGACATGGGGAAACTGTCACTCTCCCTTATCCCCACCCATCCGCATTCCCTTAACCTCCAAAGAAATTTGAAACACCCACCCATCACTCAAATAAAGTGAAAACAATGCTACGTGCCAGTTTAGTGTAAGAAAACCAAATTTAGTCAGAAAGCAAAACATGCTTTGAAGTGTTCGAATGACTCAGGTTAAAAAAATCATCAGGAAGTTAGCTTCAGGATTGCGTAACTACGAATTTCTTTAGATGATATATGTGCAGGACTCTATCCTAGAAATAAACCTAAGTGAATAGTGTAGGCCCTAAATTTATTATAACTTGACAATTCAAAGCAGTGGATAAACTTTTCTTTCTTGATAGAATGAAAAGTGGAGATATGTTTAATTATGAGACATAAAGAAGGGTAGTTTGGGGATTTTTTTAATTTGTTCAACGTGCCATCGAATTTTTTTTCACTCAATTCTAGACGCCTCCACTTGTTAGAGGATTGCTGCAGATTTAGACCTGTATTCGGCATTTTATATCATTAAGCAATGAGGGATCTTTTCAATTTACTAAATGATAAAAAACCTTTAATATAATTTACATTTTAAGATGTAGGAATTTTATCATAAAGAAGATAATAAATTATAATGATATTTTTTGGTAGAAACGGTATTTGCATTTCAATTTCTAGACCAAATTTTTGTGTCAGGTGTGTTATATAAATCACTTTAATTTTCAAAGAATTCTCTGATAAAAGTTCTACTTTTATCAATAAAAAATCTGTAAAGTTCCACATTGTACGAACAGCGATTCACAAGTTATTTTGATCTAATCCTTCATGAGAAGACAATTAATTCGACTACTTAGTGCCCAAGCTGTTTTACAGCAACACAAGAATTTTTGTGCAAACCTTAACAATGGTCACTTCATCAAACACTTAACGACAGGCATGAATAAAGAATTTGTCACTACCTTTATATTCTAAAATAAAATTTTATTTTCCGTGTCCACATGTATGCAAAAAGAAAATTAAAGTGAAGTGAAAAGCAGAGATTTCGTTTTAATTATTTTTGATCCAATAAAATTCACACTTGTAACACACGAAACAAATACAATATATATGCCAACTACATATTACAAATGTCAAATGAGTTCAAATTACCATCAAAAATCACTTTTACATAAGCTTTACATGAGATCAACTTTCAGATGCATAATATACTGGTATAAAGATTGTATGTAGTTGAGTGTAACATTGAAAATTTTCACCCCAAGAAAACCTTTGTGAAACGAAGCGCAGCTTCAACTAATGTACATGAAAGTATAATATTTAAAGATGTTTTTTCTTTCATGTCACAGATACAGCATCAGAAATCAGTTAATATCGATGGTCTTGTTGATTTGTAGCAAATTTGAATGCTGACATACTGTAGTCCAGCAAAGATTTGAATTTCTTTTCTTTGAGATTTTGAACTAAAGGACTGTTGCATCTTGCTTGATAATGAGTATTTATCACAAACTTTAGGCCACTGCCCTATTCCATACAGTTTTCTCTCTAATTACTTGGTTTATTAGAAAATTAATAGAATCGTCATGGCCATTTCTAGTTTTTTTTTATATGGTAAGCGCCCACACTAAAATCAAAAACCTATCTCTCTATCAAGGGAAACACACAAACTGAGACAGAAAATTTTTTGAAAGAATGATTGTAGAATTTCCGATCACTGAGAATTTTCGCCATCAAGGTAGTCCAGGCGGCAGAGCGCTCGCTCCGTGATCAGAAGGTAGTGTGTTCGAATCTCGGCTGCGACCGACTATAAAAATAGGTCAACTGTCTCGGTAGGCGTTGGCACAATAAAGAAACGTCACTGCTCGATGGCCCTTAATGCCGAATAAAGGTCTTAATTTGAAGCCCTTCACGGGTATTTGTAGTCCGGCACGTAAAAGATCAAAAATCATAAAAAAGCTTATAAAACGTCAAATATTTGGACTTTGGTATAGGGTGACGTCACTGTATGGCTGAAAAATTCTCGAACGGGACGTAAAACAACATATTTGTATTTTTTCTGTGTGTTTGTTTTAAATTTTAGATTTAATTCAGCTTGTGGCGAGGGTTGAATTCACTAAAATGCATTTCAACCTACAAAGGTCAAGGGCAAAAGGTCAAAAGTGTTGGTAATCAAATGAAGGTCTTGTTACAAGGAATACATCTGTGAAATATGAAAGCTCTAATTCTAACTGTTCAAAAGTTTTGACCATGGTTTAAGTTTTTAAAAGTGGGTCAAAGTCTTAGGTCAAGGTCAAAAGGTAAAAAAATATTTATATCCAATGAAGGTCTTGTCACAATAGATACACATGTAAAGTATGAAAACCCTAGCTCCAACTGTTCAAAAGTTATGACTAAGGTTAAAGTGTGGGGTTTTTTTTGGTAAAAGTAAGTCAAACTGCAGTGTCAAGGTCAAGAGGTCAAGTTTGGTGGCACCCAAAGAAAGGTCTTATCACAAGGAATACACCTGTGAAATATGATAACCATTGCTCCATCCACTCAATAGTTATGGGCTAGGTCAAAGTTGACAACGGACAGAGAGACTAACAGATAAACAGACAGAACAAAAACAGTATACTCCGGGATCTTTCGATCCCGGGGCATGAAAACTTATTTTGGTATACACAAATAATTTAATCAAAGATATTGTTATAAAATGAGATAAAGTACTAGTATATTCGATAAGTATGGATATATAAAATTTACATTAAAACAAAAACTCTGGGTAAAGATTGTTGTAAAGTACATAACTAAAATAAATATGTTTAATTAATGTTAGGATAAATAAAATCCTGAAGTAAAACTACTATGCTATAGGAAGGCAGAAGTAGCAACTGAAGTAACAAGTGACATTAGTATTTTCAAAGTGATTGGTTCTGTAATAACCAAATGTTAACCAGACGTAGAATTATATTTTGTATCCGATAACAAGATAACTACATATTATCATTAATGAGATTTATTTATTAGTTTACTTTTTTTATAATTTGGAAGTTAAAGTAAATTGTAATTTTCTTTTAAATTTAATCTTGAATAGATTGATAAATAATGCAAAAAAGAATATGGAATTACCTGAACTGACCTGAGGTTCCGTTACTTTGAGTAACTTGATCCACTTGATCAGGTTGTGTCAGGTGCAACACATAGTTGTTCTTCGTCTTATCACAGGTAGAAGATCAATCGGAAGCCCCTTCAAACACCCCTGTAATTCTGAGCAAATTCTACCAGTAAACGACGTCCTCGATCCTTTTTCAAAATTTTATTTCTAATTCTACTTTGCATCTCAATATTATTTTCTCCATATTCAGTTGATGTTACTGTGTGTTCTGCTGGCTATTTTATACTCCTAGATACAAAGATAAACGAGGTTTACTTCTCATAGTTAAAAAAAAGAATTTTTGCAAACGGACGTTTATACGAGCCTATACTTCTATACTTTATTAAGAAATGTAGAAGAAGTTAAACATACTTTTGAGGCTGGATGCGCAAGGTTACCAAGTAAGATGTCGTCAATCACTGGATTTCATAGGATAAGATTGTTTATAATTAAGGTGGTAAAATAAAATTATATACAACTATGCGTTATTTTTGTAAAAAAGAATATCAATTTCTTTAATTTTTTTCTGATGAAGTGATGTATTAATTTTTCACAATGTATTTTTCTAAAATGTACCTTGAAATGGATTGTCAAACTTCTGGATTAGGTGTGGAAAGCTGATAAGTTTATTGAGATAACATTCAAATGCTTTTCTTAAAATAATATGTTATCTAACTGACGAAAGAGGATAAAGAAAAATGCTTTCGTTTTCGTTTTTAATAATAAGAAGGGGATCGATAGACCATATCAATTATATTAATAATATCATCAGTATCTATGTTATTAAAATAACAAAATTTTCTGTATTATTTTTGGTTGACTTATCTTTGTATAACAATTTGTGTCTTTTACAATGTACCATTTTAGTCTTAACGGAACATTAAGTAACCGGTATGTTTTTAAGACACATTCCAACTTGAGTCAGCTGAAGTTTTTCAGATTATTGCAACTTGGCGGCATCTAAATGATCAATGTCCAAATCGATTACTGCACCGTTAACCGCCTGGAAATGAAAATATGCACACTTGATTATTCTTCACCTCTCTACAAGATTCAATACCTGTATGGAGTAACACTTGCTTTCATGCTGTTTGTGTCATATCATAAGAATATTTAAATAACGTTAGCAAGACTTTAAACCATTAAGTTATACTGATACCCTAACTGTTTGCAGTCAGAGAGGTTCACAATAATTTTGATACGAGATTTTTAGACAAAAAGTCGATAGTTTTTCAAAATAAGGCAAACATTTGTCAATTATACGTAAATGGATATAACATACATCATGGTAAAAATTAAGACTTGCAAAAATACTCTCAAAACATTGAAATATATAGAGATACCGAACAGAATTCATGCTCAAAAGTCCATTAAACAATATAAAATAGGAACAGAGCAAACACGGACCTCCAAAACATCAGCAGTGGGATGGAGGAATGAGCATCCCCTGTCGACCGGTAATATCCGCCGTGTGCTTCTTGTCATGCTCCTTGTCATGATCGGGAAACAGTGGGAAAATCCGTCGTCAATTCAGTGTACATAATGGACTAAGAATTAGTATGGAAAACGTCAGTCAGCATTTGAATGGATGATTAATTATATTTGCTGAAAAGGTCATTGTATTGACCATATAACTTAAGAAATAATGACTTTAAACGAGACTGTTGATATCCTTGTTTCATCAACTTGTTTGTCAATAATTTATCTCGTTTTAGAAATTGTATATACGTAGAGCAAGCTCTTGCGTATCGAATCAACTGAGATATATATACTCCGTATGAAGGTGATGAAGGTATACTGCTGTATAAGTAATGGAAGATGACGATAGAAAAGTTAAAGTCATAACGTTTAACATAGAGCTTGGTTGGTAGATTACCATTAATGTCTTTTTCAAGTAAAATATCCAATTATGAGATAAATGTGTCAGGCTCTGTGGAATCTTTCAACTTAAGCTCACTTGGATATATCGAATCGGCATAAGAATGAAAATATCTAATATGTAAATTGACAATTCGTCGTCGGTGTATTGAAATGTCGAGTTGAAGACCATATCAAGTGTTTTCTTCTTTACACGTATAAGATTTTGGACAAATTATGCTTTTTATTTTGGATACAAAAAAAGGTCTGATAATAACGGGGCGGAATTGGTACCCATGGGAATTCCAATAGATTGTTTGTAGACCTCGTCTCCAAAAACCAAATAAATATTGTCAATCAGAAATTCGAGCATCTTTTTTTATATCCACTTTAGAGTACTTGTGTGTACAACCAGAATTTTTTTCAACAAAATGATTTTGCAAATGACCAATGACAAGGTAAATTTACGAGTTCCATTTATTTATCGTGGGAAATGGTTGTCTATCAAGTTGAAAAGTCGTAAGTTTTTCAGCTGCTCTATTTGGTAAAATCTTGTGATTTCCAATTGTCTAAAACTTTCTTGATATCCACATCTGATTTACACCACTTCTATATATTTTTTGCACAGTACTCTTGAAGCTTCTCCTTCACAACTGTTAATATCTTAGTGAGGAGTAAAAAAATAGTCTCGGTTGAACATTTACTGGAACTCAGTATGTATCTTTGTTGGTAAGGATTTTTATGAAGTTTCGGAATCCTGTATAGATATGGTATTTCAAATTCATTTTTGTTGATTAGAATATTAAAAATATTCAAAACTTACATATGCTTTTGAAGAATTTCTATCTTAGAAAAGGAAGTATGAGTACAAGTTGGATATCACTTGTAGAATTAAATCCAAGTTCTTCTAAAATTCTAAAATACAATTTATATAATGATCCTTACAAATGAAGACAATGTTGTTACCTGCTTTGTCAATTACAACTCGCCGACAAAGGGTAAATAAAGTGTGATCATGATATATCGTGGATGAGTTTATTCCTTTACCTTCATCTTTTTCTAAACTTAAAATTCTTACCTGAAAAAAATGCTGTTGCCCATAATTTAACATTTATCGACAATGTAGAATCAATTTGTATTGTTTTTGTTTTTCGTGAAACTTTAAAATAATTAATAACTGAAAGACATCATGATCACAGAGTCTGTGACATCATTGCCTAATACAACTAGTAATCCTCGATTGTATTTTTATTACATCTATGATTCATCCTTTTGGCAATTATCATTATCATTATATAACTATATAACAGAGAAATATTTTTTAAGATATTATTTGATTCTTTTGATATTAAATACAAAACGTGAAAAAATATTAAAACTTTATTGAGATATAAAATGGAATTAATTCTTGAAAGAACTGTTTGTTTTAAAAGCTTTTTACGAAGTCAATACTGAATATCTCAAATAATTCTAATTAATATGGAACAGTTGTGGTTGTATTAAAAATATTCTGAGGAACGATAACTCTTGTAGATTGATGAATTTTATGTTACAAGCACTGAAACAATGTCATATTTTTATTTAACAAGCAATGATTCATTACATTTTCTAATGTTAATTAGATAGTGATCTTTATATAGACCACATATTTTTAATTTTATTGTGAGATAGAACAAATATTTAACTTTCTATTTATCATATCAATTTTCTTCAACTTCAACCAATTGTAATGCCTTATTTAATACTGGACTGACTACGGTACGTTCCGTCTACCAGATAAATACGTAGGGCTCACGGTCAACAGGGGATGCTTGTTCCTAATTAATAATAGGCACCTCATCCAGCCTCTGCAATTTCCATTCGTCCATATTTATGCCCTCTTCACATAATTCTATTGTTTATCGATTTTTTTTCAGATCGATCACCTTTCATTACCTTAAGTATAAGTCACATTATCCAGCGATGGGGTATACGATGAGAAACCAATGCGTTTTTTGATGAAAATGGCGTGGTTGCCGGCCGGGCACCACTAATGATCGGACGGTGTCTGAGGCCATTTTGCGAATCGGTGGGGTCATCGGTAGGAAATAATTCGTAGTTAAAATTCAGCGATGTCTCCAACGATGCCTCTCATCGCTCCTCATCGGCAACCCATCATTAACACACTTTTCAAGAATCGGCCGATGTATGGCCGAGCATCGTCCAATATCCGTTGAATCTGAGGTCATCGGGGAGTTTAGTGGTGTTCAACAGATAACAACCGATCATCGTCCGATGTTCGACCAAACACTGGTCCGTAGTCGACCGATGTACGAACGATGTTCACCAATGTATGAGCGATGTAATATACATCGGCCGATTATGCTGGAACATCGTTTTATGATTAGCAATGCATTGCTGGGCCTTTGTAAGTCCGGCCGGCAACCACACCATTTTTCTCATAAAACGCATTGGTTGCCCATCGTATGCACATCGCTGGATAATGTGACTGATACTTTTAGGATTACTTGGCCGATGTGTAACGATGTTGGGGCATCGTTAACACCACGGATTACCACCGATTACCACCGGTCTACGGCTACCGGCCGGGAAATGTGACCTAGGCATAAACCTAGTTTTTCATTCCAAATCTATAATAAAAATTGTTTCCTAATCCCTTACAGGAATTTTACAACTTTTCTGTCATTGGCCCTGAATTTTGTTAAATCTGAAACCGGCGGACTATAAGCGATCTGTATCAAGTATGAACTTAAACAAATATAGTCCAGATTGAAATGATACTATTTTCTGAGTCAAAATCGCAGAAAAACCTTTTTGTCACAATCAATCTCTGTATCAAGTATCTGGCAACTGGACAGTTAAACAGACAGTTTAATTCCCAACCCAACCACCCTACCCCCCAAAATAAACAATCACTTTGCAAGGGAAAACTCTGGTCATGATTTTAAAAAAAGTAATCTTTTTTATATCAGGAAGCTTTCATAAATATGATTTCTCATTCTTGCCCTGAAGTTCGTAAGAATAATATTTTAAAACGACCCCTTCTTATTTTTACTAACCGTTTTCTTCATTATCTTCATTTAATATCTGTCATGTTGTAAATTTTGAATTTACCGGGTGACAGTAAATTCAAAATCTACAACATGTCATATCTCCTAAGGTCGCCCGCATAGCGCAGTGATTAGAGCGTCTGCTCTATAGTCGCGAAGTACAGTACTGACCAGACCCAACCTGACACAAAGCAGTCTCAGAGCAGTCCCAGGGACTGCTTTCTGGGACTGCTAAAGCAGTCCCACAGCAGTCCCAGAGCGGTCCCAGCGGTCCCAGAGAGCAGTCCCAGCAGTCCCAGTGGGTGGGGTTTAATTAATTAATGGGCGGAGCTGACTCAGAAATGAGATTTGCAATAAACAATGGAACTATAAAAGTCAGTAGAAATTGATTCTGGGTTGTATGCCAGGAATCC